GAACGCCCCCCGCGACGAATTCTTAGTTAATGTTAACTAATGTAGTTAACATTAACTAAGAATGAACAATACTCCTTCAGCATTTGTTAATCTTTGTTAATGTTAATTTCAACATTTACAAATACTTTATTAAAATCTTGTTAACATTAGTTAATGCACTGTGAACTAACATAAACTAACAATGAACAGCTGGATTTGTATTAACTAATGTTAACAAAGATGAACAAAAACAGTAACAAATGTATTGCTCATGGTTCATGTTAATTAATACATTAACTACTGTTTAATAAATGAACCTTATTGTAAAGTGTTACCGACATTTTTAATCTTTTGTATCAGCTTTCAGCATTGGCTAACAAACAAACGCTTAAAGCTATTTTTTTATTAGTTTTAATATAGTTTTATATTATTACATCACAAAGAAATATGTTAAATGCATGCTTATACACCATTAAAAGAGATTTTCACAAGAACATATCCCGTGTGTGTGTGTGTAAGCATATGTCTACATATGAATGCAAAAGCTTGTGTGACCAGCAGAGGGCAGTAGAAGACCACTTATTGGCTCACTTTCATTTTGACACACTTGATTAGGGATGGGAATTGATAAGAATTTAACGATTCCGATTCCTTATCGATTCTCATTAGGTGAGGGAATAAGTACAAATTTGTTTGTTTGTATTAACTTATTGAACTTATAACTTATTTTGTTTGTTAATTATTATTAACTCGCTGACACAGCACAGAGTATTAGGGGTGTGAACCTACAATGGTCTCACGGTTCGGTTCGATTACGATTATCATGTTATCGATTCAGTTCAATTAGATATCTCGATGCATTACATGCACTGCATCCTCAATTTTACTTCAAAAGTGATGTGTGTGTGTGTTTGCGTGCGCGTGTTCACCCGTTCGTGAAGTCGCAGTGACAGAAACAGTGACATTCCAGTTTATGTTTCATGGGACTAAAGTCTGTTCATGATGTGTGGCCAAATGTTTCTGCATATTGGAGGTCCCTCCCCCCCCCCCTTTGACGAAATGGAAATTTTACAGGTGTTGCAGCAAGTGACCATATTGTTATGTGGCGCCGTCATACTCTCATTGAGCATGTGCGCGAGTTTGAGTGTGTGTGTGCTCGCGTCTCATATGAGTATGTGCGTGGAGAGTTTGTGTGTGCGCGCGCGTCTCATATGAGTTTGTGTGTGCGCGCGCGCGTCTCATATGAGTATGTGCCTGGAGAGTTTCGCGCATCTCGTGTGTGTAGAGTTTGCATGTATGCGTGAGCGACTTTAGGTGTGTCGTTGTGCATTTCATATGTATTTGTTTGAGCATTCAGCAGTATACATGTATGTTTGACTACTTAGTATACGTGTATATGCAAGTGTTTCATATATGTGTGCGTGAATGAAGTTTGATTTAAGCCCTAGACGGCACCTCATATATTGTCGTCTTTTCGCGTGAAATATAACCAAACGAGCGCTTCTGCCTCGATGTTATGTTTGATGCGTTCTGAATCAAAATAACGCAGCGCGTGTGTGACGTCATGACACATTTGCAACGAGCGGAACCGATAAGCGGATCGTTAAGCAGGCATACTAACGGTTCCAGGGAATTGGTTAACTGGGCACCGGTTCTGAAGAAGAAAATTAATATAAAATAGTACTGCAAAAAAACAGTTTACTGTAGTGCAAAGCTATTCTATTGCTGTTATATATTTATTGTCCAACATTTACATTTTAGTACAATTACATTTATTTGCTGAATTCGTTTATTTCATTGAACTTATTTTTGTATGTAAGGTTATGTGTACCTCCTGGGAAACGGTCTAACGTTATAACTTTATGAACTTACATCACTTTATTCTTCTTACCTGTCACACTTAATGTAGAGATTAATATAATTAATTAAATCCTTAAACTTCCCTGTCTCAAGTTATGTGGGGGAAAAGCCTAGTAGCAACTTCTTTTTAACGGATATAACGTTAACTGTTGTGAATTAAAATAATCACCTAATTATTTCAACCTAAAAATGACCTCTGCACTGGACTAAATATATGTATAATATATGACTGCCGAGTCGCTTTCACCCCAAAATGGCGGACGCGTAGGGCTGCTGCTGGGCGCTGGTGTTGCAATGGAACGTTCTATTGGCTTTCACTTCTTGTCAATATACGTTCTTTGCCTGAACTAACAATGAACAGCTGGATTTGTATTAACTAACGTTAACACTAGAAGTGCCAGAATTCCATAACTACTAGAACTGCCACAAGCGGTCATTTTGACCGTTAGATTGCAAACTCTATAGCTTTAATGATAAATACCCAATTGAGAGATTAATGCATTTGTTGTATTAGGATATCTTTTAAAAACAAAACAACATCAAACTGTACATTTTAAAAAGTTTAATTATACATTTATAAATAATAATATCAGTAGCCCGTAATTATCGCATAGGGCCTATTCACAACAGAGCTATATTTCCATATCCCTTCAACATAACTCAGAACAAGATAATAACAACTAAAAGTATCTGATTTAGATATTCTTTTGACAGTGAGAGAGACAATGTCACGATTTATGAATTCGCTGTCTCCTTTCTCGTCTTGTTGTGTGTGTGTGCGTGGTCGCTGATCAATGCAGCTGATCAGCACGTGCGCTCTGATCAACGCGCCAGCTGCAACTGATCAGCGATTCGACCCTTTTCAGTGTTACTGTTCTCGCCTAGTCTTTGGGTGTTTCTCAAAACCAAGAATGCAAAGAACGGACTTGTGTTCTTGGGGAGAACGCTCTTGCTAGTTGTTCTTGGAAGAATTAACTCACAAGGTGACGAGCACACAGAACGCTGCTGACAGTTTGAGACGATGTGTTCTTGCTGGTATTGCGCAATAATACCCCCGCACAGACACCGTCTGCAGTCCCCAAACATAACGAGAATTATTGACGATAACAGCCAGGCTGCAATGGTCTCTTGACTGTGGGGAAAAACGAGTCTGTGAGCAAACTGGCCGGTTGGCTCGATAGCTGACGTTACACCCGCAGGCGCTTATGGAGATTCTCACTTCCGAAAACGTTAGAGTACATTTCGATTAGCCATAAATATTCGTAAAAATGCCAATATTTGAAATCTACACAGTTGATTTCTCGCATCAAATGTTCTCAGAAGTGAATTTAGTGATGAAATAGTGTACGTAATTGTAGAAAAACGAAATGCTGTATTGACCTGCCTCTCCTTCCTCGAATGCCGAATTGAATGCTGGGATATTTCTGCCGTCAAGTTCACACAAGTTACCAACTGATGCATCCTCGGTAAAATGGGCGTGTCAAGAACACATCCGGGATTTTTAACTGTTCTTGCCAAAATGCAAACTTGTGTATTGGGACAGTACTTGGGCCACAAAAGATGACGTTTCACAAGAACACAAGGACACAAGTACAGACAAGAACACAGATTGAGAAAGGCCCTTTGTCAGATCGTTGTGGATTTTTCCTGCGTGTTTGTTCCCTGCCTGTATCTGTTTTCCGTGTGTCATCCCGTGTTCAGCACTCCTGGTTCAGCACTCACTCCAGCGTCCCTGTGCTGCCAAGGGCTTCATACCGGACATTTGCACACCTTCACTCTCCCAGCATCTGACCAGCTCTTAATAAACATATCTGTCATTTTGCAATTGAATCTTCTAATTATTTCCTAATAGACAAAGGTCAACCGCGAGAAATGTAACAAAAGAATACCGCGAAATTCAGTGCGGTCAATATGACCGTCTATGGCCGAAATAGGTAAATATGTTCATTTGTTTGTTTGCCTTATGTGTAATTTATATTAAAAACATTTTAAATGAAAATACAGACACTTTTAGGAAAAGTCAGGTACCAGCAGGATTTTATTTATTTTTTCAACTAAGTTATTGCAGATATAAAATTCAAAACGGTCAAAATGACCGTCGTGGCCATTCTAGTGTTAACAAAGATGAACAAAAACAGTAACAAATGTATTGCTCATGGTTAGTTCATGTTAATTAATACATTAACTAATGTTTAATAAATGAACCTTATTGTAAAGTGTTACCGACATTTTTAATCTTTTTTATCAGCTTTCAGCATTGGCTAACAAACAAACGCTTAAAGCAATTTTTTTATTAGTTTTAATATAGTTTTATATTATTACATCACAAAGAAATATGTGAAATGCATGCTTATACACCATTAAAAGAGATTTTCACAATAACATATCCCATGTGTGTGTGTGTGTGTGTGTGTAAGCATATGTCTACATATGAATGCAAAAGCACTTGTGAAAACACTTTATTAATAAGTACAGTGGCCAGCAGAGGGCAGTAGAAGACCACTTATTGGCTCACTTTCATTTTGACACACTTGATTTTCACCAGTAAATCACAGCACTAAAGCAAACCAGTTTTTCCATGTTAACTATTATAACACAATCATTTTTTGTCAGAGTTTATCACTTCATTTTTATTGGCCCTTCACATCAATGCAGCAATGTGGTAAATCATGGTAAATCACGATAGAAACATGGTAAATCATAGTAAAAAATACTATTACATGGTGGATCATGGCAAATCATGCTAGCAATGTGATGAATCATGGTAAATCATGCTACAATCCTGGTAAATCATTCTAGAATGTGGTATATCATGGTAAATCATCCTATAACATGGTAAATGATGGTAAACTGTGGTAAATCATGCTAGATTCATGGTAAATCATACTGGAACATGGTAGATCATGAAAAATCACACTAAATTTGGTATATCATGGTAAATCATGCTAAAACATGGTCTAATCCATCTATGATGTCAATGTTTAAATGCTTGCTACATAAAACTTAATGTCTTTTGATGCTTTTGTGCTTAACGGCCTTAAAGGCCTTAACTGCTTGAACACCGCTAAATGCTGCTAGCAGCTTTAATTTTTCTTTATTATTCTGTGTATATATTCTATATTATTCCTCTTACTCTTGTTTCTTCTTTGTCATTCTCTCAGCGTTTCGGGGGCCAGTTGAAGATTTTGCTGGTTTGAAATGTGTGTTTCTTGGGCTCTATCTCACTCTCTTTTCTACGCTTTTGCAGTTTTTATGGATAAAGCAGATCTCTGCAGCATCAGGGTCATTAATTATCATTAATTATAAATAATATAGATTAGGAAAGTTTGGATAGAATTAGGAAAGTTGCATTTGTAATAGACAAACATAATATAGTCTTCTAATAATCTGAATGATTATTACCAAAATGCCATTTTTGGAATGTATAATGTGATTATTTGGCAGTTGCTTTTTTTCTAACCCTGGTTGCTGGTGTGGTTTCTGAGCTGAACGCTGCTTTATCTAGTCTGGTGCTGCAGGGCTGTGTGCTCTCTCTCCTCCCTCTCTCTCTTTCTCACTCCCTCTTTTTCGTTATCGTTCTCTTTTGGCTTGCAGTGCAGAGCGGGATAAATGTGATGTCACACTTATGAGCTAATTGATCTCACTCATCCACTCATCTGTCATTTAGTGAATGTTTTTTAGCTGCCCTCAGACTATCTACATATGCTTTTCATTTAATTAGAATATAAAGATTTATTAATGCGTAAGAATTGTGTCTTAATGCTGAAATCAGTGGACACACTTGTGTGCACACTTTAAGTGTTCGTGCTACCTGCAAATTTTAAGTTTAGTCAACTCAAATATCTAAGTTGTCACTTAGTACAACTTCACATTTCAAGTTGGCTAAAATTAAAATTTTAAGGCAGCAATAACACTTACTTTAAGTTGAAACAAACAGTTTTTACAGAATTTTGTAATCTAATGCAAGGAAATTTATTCATTTTTATGTGACTTGCATCTGAATAGGACACAGTTTGCAAAAATCACACCATAATTGTAAAATCAGAGATGCACAAAAACATTAACGTTCAATTTAATATACAACATGCACTAAAATTCTCCAAGACATAGAAGTAAAGCTTGATATCTGACTGTATTTTGCAGTGGGAGGGACTTAGTGCAGATGTGTGTTTGAGTGACAGCTTGTGTTCTCTTTATACAATGGCTGCCTGTTGCTAGCTGCTGCTTTATGGCTGAACATCAAACCCAATACTTCTTAACGTCAGGTGTAACACAACTCACATTTAAAGCAATGAATGCAGGCTAGGAGAATTTATGACCTTGATCTTATCGATTTTTTTGGGAAGATATAGACCATTCCAGAGCCCGTCTAACGGAGAGCCTTGGCACTTCCTATTAGCCCCATTGTGTATGATATTGGTTGCAGTTCCATTAGAATTCCACTGGAGGTGATCGCGGGCGAGTGCAGAATGAATGGGAGTCTATGGAGCTAAACGACTAAATGTATCTCGTTCTCCTGCTTGTCGTTGAATCAACATTGATTTTATTGTTGATTCCGCAAGTTCAATATAGATTATAGGCCAAAAGTCAAATGATCGAGTACTTATGTCCTTTCGATTTCTTACAGGTTGGGCCGTTGTTGGCCGGAACACGCTAGCATTCTGCTATTATGTGACGTCATCACATTTTTGAACGGATTTTTAGAACAGATAAGTGTACTTAAAAATGCAATTTTCAGCTGAGTGTATTATCTTAGCCCTCCCTTTTGAATGCGACTTTCAAATTACTTGACAAAAAATTACATCCTGAGAAAAGTGGATTTCTGGGGGTGAAACCCCATACACTCCCATTCATTCTGCACTCGCCTGCGAGCGCCCCCGCATGGACCGAGACGTGTTACTGCAGCCAGTCCAGAAACCGGAAGTAACCAGACAGTGCCAATTCTCTTCAATTAGAAATTCTCTGACTATTCCAAACATGTCGCTGAAAAAACCTGCAATTGTTACATCGAGAATCTATTTCTGCATTTCTGCCTAATCTAATCTATAATAGCCAATAGTGCTATAGATTTTATTCAGACAAAGAGTAAACAGAAATAATATTCTATTTGTACTATGGATAAATTGTCCATAAGTAATAAGTTGCTATTTGTGCTTTCAGACCTGGGACTGGCCAGTCATGAAAAAATATTTTTAGTGCATAATTGATCGCATTTGCTCTGTGTGTGATGCAGCCATTATTCAAACCCGAGATGGATGTAGAGAGGGGGTAAAGCCTTTGTTAATCTCTAGCCATGAAGGTAGGTTGCACGTATTGGCACACAGCACTGCTTTGAGCAGAAAGTATTAGCTGAAGTGCATTTCTTCAATATGCATTATGCAATCCTCTTGTATGAGCTGCTATATTCTTAGAAGAGCACACATTCATCTTAGTTTGGTGGTAGTCACCTGTCACCAGGGGCCATGGCTTCTCACGTTTTACCCAAGATACTTGCCTCGTAGCTCTCTTAGGTGTGTAGTAGCACAGAGTAAGCACTCTGTTGCCATAGCAGCATCGTTAGAGCTGAGAGATGTTATTGTGCCGAAGGTTACAGAGACATTACAAAGACAAACTATATACTCTATAGAGTATATGTTTATTTAGACACTTATATCCAGTGTTGCATTTCAAATTATATTAGCATAACTGTTCAGCTAGAGATATATGATATTTAGTGGTTGGATAGGTGGATATCACATGAAATGCTGACAGTGTCAAGTAAGAGCAGCGTGGGAGGATATTTCCTGTGTGCAGCTCACAAGATTTGTGAATGCTGTTTTGTAACAGATGTAGAATGTAAATTTTACTGTCAAATGGATTTTACGAGAGTATAATTGAACTGGTAATGGAGGTTTTACTGTGGTCAGCGATGACGATCATTCTAGTTAGTTGATGACAGTAATGACAGTCCCTGGCTTTTAGCAGAAATATGAGCTCATTGCTAATGTCCAGATGTACTACAGTCAATATTTGCTTACATAAAGTGTATGTTAATTAGTATGAGAGACGGACCATTGCATTCATCAACCATGATTTACTTTCTAGTTGTTTGCGGGGGCGGGGCAATTCTTCTAGACACCATTTAATTGGACAAAAATCAGTGTAGTGCAACATGAGTCATCAAGATTTGAAGTATGTTTTCTTGGAAGAAAAATGTTTGCTTTTGTAGATGTCACAATCTATATAAAAGCCACAAAACTCAAAAACCAGAAATGAAAATTCTGTTATCATTTAGTCACCCTCATGCCTTCCCAAACTCATATGGCTTGCTTTCTTCTGTGCAACACAAAATAATACATTTTGAAAAAGGTTTTAGCTGTTTTTGTCAGTATACTGAGTCAGTTGGGTTTCAAGGTCTAAAATGAGCATATAGCTTACTTTGAATGATTGCTTTTGCTTTTTCTGAAGTGGCATAATCACTTGCATGATTAAACTGAGATTTAAGTCTTTATTCACTGTCATATCGAATTATAAAAAAAAAAAAAACATCATGACGTTTGTCTCATGGCATGCGAGAGCCAATAAGTTTTGATGTAACTTAACGTTTGAGGTTCATGTCTTCATTTGATGTAGTTTAAATCCAAGGCTTGATGTAGAAAGACAATTTGAGTAAATTATGACAGAATTTTCATCTTTAAGACCAAAAACGAATTGCCATTTAGTTGCTTGAATGGACTAACACCATTATTTTGCTCAATGTACACTAACAAATATAAGAAACTGGTGTCAAATAACAGCCCAGATCAATGCATGTATGCCTGTTAAATATTTCAGACATGGCTCTCAGGTTGCTGTCATTGGATGGTCGAAGTCTAATGCTGTAGCTGAAGCCCGCAGTGTTACATTGCGCTTGAGATGGCTGTCTCTTTGCTGCCGGGTGCCTGCGCTATGCTCCTATTTTATTTCCGCTTGTCTCCTTTACTGGGCTGTGACTGTCTGTTCTTTCTTGATCGTTTTTCCTCACATGTGAAATTTCTTGCTCTCTGAATTCAAATTTATTTCAAGCTACAAGTCTTTCTCTGTCTTCTTTTCTCTACCTTTCCTTCCTTCTGCTCATCCTTTTCTGTCTGCTTCTCTCTGAACTCTGTGTCTGTCGCCCCCTGACCCCCTCCCCCCTCCACAACCCCCCCGCACCTCTCTCCCCCTTCCCCGACAGACATATCCGATTACAAGAACAATAACAATAGTGGCCAAGATGTCAATCAAAGAGGTGATCTCTCCACAGTGACCAATGCTATGACTGGGATGAGCCCCTCTCCATCTCTCTCCGCCCTGTCCAGCCGGGCTGGTTCCATCAGCAGCTTGCACGATCGCATCATGTTCAGCCCAGGGAGCGAGGAAGCCATTGAGAGACTCAAGGTGACTGCCATAAAGTATAAAAGCCTGACAATACTGAATTAAATCCTCCAAATATAAATCTGACAAATATCTGCCTCCAGATATTAAGGGATCAACTCCAGATTAAAGGAACCCTTTCATAATTGTTTTTACCTATACAAACTGTGTTGTTGTTATTAACCGAAACTACAACTATTAAAAATAGTTTTTGTAAATTTAAATAAATCTTAAATTAAATCAAATATAAGTATTATATTTAAATATAATAACTTACTCTACTATAATACTATACAACTGACTGTAAAATACAATAACACTGTAATAAAAATGACCAAAAAAAAAGCTGAAAATAAAATAAAATGACAAAAGCACTTCAATTACTAAAACAAACTAAAATCAAAATGAATATATATAAAAAAGCTACACTTCTTATTACTGTACCTTTTAAAGAGGAACTATGTTTTTTTAGTGTGTAATCTTACTATTTGAGCATGAAAAAGGTCTGCAAAGTTAAAAGTCACAAAATCCACTCTATATCAGTAACTGAACTTGCAGTCTTGAGTTTTCTCCTCATGTAAATAATTCCTGCCAAAAGCATACAAAATAAAATTGCCATGTCCAAGAGACGCTGTTTTTTCCACCCTGATCTAGTAAGGTTATGGTAAAGAGCATGCGATTTCCGAAACGCATTCGAAGCGGTTGACCCATCATAACACACTGGTCCAATCAGAGCACATTGCGCTTTTCAGAAGGAGGGGTTTCATAGAAACAGGAACTAAACAGGGCATTACTGACAGGGGAAGAAAATGTAAAATACGTGAAAAATTATGTTTTTTTTAACATTCAAGCATGAAAACCTATTCTAATTGACCCCAAAATATAATAATATAATATAATATAATATAATAATAATAGAACTAATCTTTTTGTACTAGGGAGGGAGTGTTGAGGTCTTAAAGGTATACGGTACTATATTAGTAAATATTCCTGATATGATACCTTTAATACAACTTTTTCTACACCTCATTAATTAAAGCCAAAAGCTTTGCTGTCTAAAGATGTACGTCTCACATTAATAAATCTATAGAACTACTATGAACTTGGTGGCATATTTTAACTTGCATTTGTTTGCAATATGCCAACTAGGAAACGGAGAAAATCATTGCTGAGCTCAATGAAACGTGGGAAGAGAAGCTTCGCCGTACAGAAGCCATCAGAATGGACAGGTTTGTTATATGAAGCCTTATGTGATGATAAGCAATTTTACATTAGTGTATGCTATAGTCATAAACCTAAACCATCATTTTTAAAAACATCTAAATTGGTTTTCACAGAGAAGCACTGCTGGCTGAGATGGGTGTGGCCATGCGTGAGGATGGAGGAACTGTTGGAGTCTTTTCACCAAAGAAGGTAAAGTCATTATTAAGGCTGTAGGGAGAAACTGTATGCAGGTGGAGGTGGACGTGATAAGGCTAATATGTTGTGTTCAAATAACTAAATAAGCCTGTGAATGTCTTTACGTTCCCTTTCTGGAAGCCCTCGCAGAGAAAACCTCAGCCCGTGTTTATAGACACTGTTGGGCTGTTCTCTCCCAATGAGGTTGGTTGCCATGGATACTGTGTGGTTGCATTTCGATTCTCTCAGAATGTACCTCTGTGTGTTCTTTCCCCACCAGAGCTCTTCTAAACACATCTGTGATCTTTATTTAGGGATCTGTTGCTGATATGAATGCCGATGTGCTGCAATTCCTTCAAGTCTTTATAGTAAACTTTAAAGCAAACTGCTGGGTGATTGTACAGATCTTAAGCATCATGCCCTATGATGCTTTTAAAGGCTTTCCTGTCTGGAGTCTTACACTTTTGTGATATCTAAATCGAATCGCATGCATTTTGATGGATATCAAAATTGAAATCTTATTTTCCTCTTTCCAAGGTCGTATAAATACATTTTGAAAGTGCTCGCAAGGCAGTGCTACGTTGTACAGCACTTTGGCTGGGGTTTAAACCATTGATTCCAATTATTAAACTCAGAACGGTTTAATGCGTAGACTCCATTTGAACTTTATTTTGTAGATAATTTCAGCCTTTTGTGCCTCTTTTTGCCCCTGTGATTCATACTTTAAGTTTTGTTTGAATTTTTGAAAATCTCCCATTGACTTCAGCATATTCAGCATTTGAAAATGTAACCATCTACAATGAGACTATTTATTTAAACATGTCTGCTGAATTGCGATTGGTCTTCTTTCTTATGCTTGGATACAAATTGTGTTTGGACTTTTTTCATATATTTAAAGTAGGCTAACCATGAAATCAAAATGGACAATTCTTATATTTTATGTAATATTGCAATGTTTATTATAAATGATTTATCTGTTTTAATTCTTGTACACATCTGACAGAAAACAAGACTTTGACTTTTAACACAGAACCAAAGCCCAGAACCTAAACTTGCCTGAAACTTTAAGACTAGTCATTTGCTGCCTTGCAAGCACTGGTATTTCTTTCTGGAAATGCAAAAATAGTTGAGTCTGTAAAGTTGATTTTAAGTATGTTTGGGCCCCTCATTACAGACACCCCACCTGGTGAACCTGAATGAAGATCCTTTGATGTCTGAGTGTCTCCTATATTACATCAAAGATGGAATTACTAGGTTAGTTACAATCCAAGCTTCTCGTTTTCTCCATCGTGCATGTGAATCACACATATATGCTTCTGTTCAGTATAATTAGCACTATGGTATCTTGATGTGTTGCTTTGCTCAGGGTGGGGAGAGAAGATGCCAGCAGTAGACAGGACATTGTTTTGAGTGGTCACTTCATCAAAGAGGAACACTGCACTTTCACCAGCACCACTGGGCCAATGGGAGAAGGTTTGTCAATGATGCAGCTACTGTAAAAACACACATACTTGTACATGTATATGCCAAAGTCCTTATGGTTGTTCTTCCTGTTGTCTACAGCTGTCATTCTCGAGCCGTGTGAGGGAGCAGAAACGTATGTAAATGGGAAGAGAGTAACAGAACCCACTGTTCTCAGATCAGGTTTGTTTTTACTTTTTTACCCTCACCTGCTGAAATACTGTTCTAAGCAATATGGTTTGGTTCCTATTATTTATTTGTTTGTGCTGGTGTGTGTTTGTGTGCATATTTATTAGGGGTGGGACAAAATATATCGATAGGGCAATATATCGTTGTCTTTCTCGGTGCGATATGAGAATCGTTACTCTGATATCTGATCTCAAATATCGATATTTTAATTAATAAAATAAGGCGCTAAATAGATTTCCCGGCTTCCAGCGTCGCTACTTCATGGCTCCTAGAGGTGTCACTCAACACATGAATGAGGGAAACGTGAACATAAGTTAACAAGCTTAAGAAAAAGAGCTTTTTAACGGGATGGCGGACAGCAGTGTGAGTAAAATCAAAGATGTTTAAGTCCAAAGTCTGGACCCACTTTGGCTTTTATACCATTAATGGGACAAACAAAAACGACAAAGAATACACAATATACAATACTGTCTGGTAAAAGTAAAGTGCATGGGTAATACCATGAACATGCAAAGCCACTTGGAACCCTGATCTCATTGAAAATGTTTAATTCACTTAAAATGTTCCATTTAATTTACAGTCTGAAAAACCTTTTGTGCTGTTTTCTAACAGTTTGGACTTGAATAAAGAGAGAAAACCTGCACTTAACTTTTTCACTAGTATTTTGTTTTCATAGTTATCATAGTTCACAGATATCGTGATGTATCATTATAGGATTGTCTAGCAATATATTGATTATCGCAGAATTGCTGTATCGTGATATTATCGGTATCGTGAGCCGTGTATCGTATCGTATTGTGAGGTACCCTGTGATTCCCCATCCCTAGTATGTATGCATGCATGCTTGTATTGATTTAAGATTTGATTTATTCATTGATTTATTTTTGATTATTTGTGATTTTTATTATATTATTTCTAAAATATTTATTTTATGCACATCTGTGCAGAATTAACCAGTCTGTGTTAATGCAATTTTTTTATTTCTTTGTATTTACTGACTCTTTTGTAGGGAACCGAATCATTTTGGGCAAGAGCCATGTTTTCCGCTTCAACCATCCAGAGCAGGCTCGTCAGGAACGTGAGCGCACCCCCTGCTCTGAGACCCCAATGGAGCCTGTAGACTGGGCCTTTGCTCAGAGAGAACTCCTGGACAAACAGGGCATTGATATGAAACAGGAAATGGATCAGAGGTAAAGTAACATGGAGGAAATTCAAGAACAAGTGTGAACAAATGTGACATTTGTGTTTCTAGACTTGATATCCTTTTTTATATCGTTTGTATAGACTGCAGGAACTTGAGGATCAGTATCGCAAGGAGAGAGAAGAGGCCAACAATCTATTGGAGCAACAGAGATTAGTAAGTGACATAAAGAGCTTATACAACTTGTTTCCTTTACTCCAAACTTACCGTAGTATTTAATATGACCCTTTTTAGTGTTGATATTTCACTGTATGTCTTTTACAGGACTATGAGAGCAGGCTAGAAGCACTGCAGAAGCAGGTAAATCGTTGTTACCCTGATGTAGCAGAGGAAGATGAAGAACCTGAGGAGGAAGGTGACTAGATTGTGATGGAAACAAGTTTTGTTTCGTTTTTTTGAACAGCTTGAACTAATCAAAATGACCCAAATTTAAACACCCGAGCATCTTGTATTCAATCTCTTTTACCCATAGTGCAATGGACTGAGAGGGAGACAGAACTGGCGTTGTGGGCTTTCCGTAAATGGAGATGTTATCAGTTCACATCTCTAAGAGACATGCTTTGGGGCAATGCCATCTTCCTCAAGGAGGCCAATGCCATTAGCGTCGAGCTAAAGAAGAAGGTGAAAGCTTTGGAAATATAATACCAGAAAGAACTGCATTCACTCTGCTAAACCTATTCGATATGACAACATCATAACTGATTGAGCCTTATGTCGCTTACAGGTTCAGTTTCAGTTTGTTTTATTGACGGACACACTTTACTCTCCACTTCCGCCTGACCTGTTACCACCTGAGGCTGCTAAAGACAGGGAGAAGAGCCCGTTCCCTCGCACCATTGTGGCCGTAGAAGTCCAAGATCAGAAAAATGGAGCCACACATTACTGGACCCTGGAGAAGCTTAGGTAATTTTTGCATATTGCTTTTTCATATCGTTTCTTCAACAACAGAAATGCCCCTTCAAAGCAGACTTTTCACACTCTCACTAATTTGTTTAATTTGTGTACTGTCAATATCCAACAGTGGACGTACAGTGGTCATTTCCACAACATCTCAATGTCTATTTTTTTTATATGTTTTTTTTATATTTTAAACCTTTTAAACATTTTTGGAATAAAAAGGCAGACTCGTTTGTTTTAATGCAGCTAATTTTATAGCTAGCATTTTATGTGTGTGCGTGTGTGTGTGTACACACTATATGGACAAAAGAATTGGGACTTAATTATTCAATGCAGGCGTTTCAATCAGACCCATTTGCCACAGGTGTACAAAATCGAGCACCTAACCATGCAGTCTGCATTTACAAACATTTGAAAGAAAGAAAAAAAAGCGTCGTTCTGAAGAGCTCAGCGAATTTAGGCATGGTACTGTGATAGGATGCCACCTTTACAATAGGTCCTTTTGTGAAATTTCATCCCTGCTAGATATTCCATAGTCAACTGTAAGTGGCATTATTGGAAAGCAGAAACATGAAACATTTAGGAACAGCAGCAACTCAGCCACGAAGAGAAAGACCATGTAAAGTCACAGAGCGGGGTCGCTGAATGCTGAGCAACACGGTGCATAAGAGTCGCCAACAATCTGCTGATTCCAAAGCTAAAGAGAACTTCCACTGGCATTAATATTAGCACAAAAACTGTGCGGTGGGAGCTTCATGGAATGGGTTTCTTCACATATCTCATATCAGTGTGACACTTTTGACTCATTAGTAACCACTATATTTAAATACAATTTTATTAGGGATACTATTATTTGTCTTGGTGTAAATGATGCAACAACTGAGGGACAGTAATTATACATTTTTATGAAATATATTCAACAATAATTACTGAAATGGTTGGGTTATTTGATGTTTTGTTTACATTTGAATAGTTTTACAATTATAACAATTTAGTATTTTAATCATGGAGTCTCATATTTTAGGATTAAAAGTCTAGGATAAGGGTAAAACAATACAATTTATACATAAAAAGTGTTTGAAAAGAAGCTAAAATAAATGAAGGCATGTTGTTTCAGGACAACAAAAACCAAATCTGTTACTTGCAATAAAGGGCAAGTTCTTAAAACATAAAAACGTCCATAGGTGAAGAGAAACCCAGCTGAGTCACCTTGGGTTTCACAGTGTATCCAGGATTTAGATTCTAAATAATGTATAATGCCGCCCCCTGCAGGCAGAGGTTGGATCTGATGAGGGAGATGTATGATCGTGCTGCTGAGGTGCCCAGCAATGCTCTTGAAGACTGTGACAGTGTGTTGACTGGAGGCGACCCCTTCTACGACCGGTTTCCCTGGTTCCGTCTGGTTGGAAGGTGAGTTTTAAGGTTACTTCAGAGCATGGCTAGACAGACCTGGCCGCTGGTGTTCAGTACAGAATGCCACCTCAGATAAAGGCCACATTATCAACATTATTCTCATCAAACTACACTAGTGTTTGAATGGCCCATTGAAAGTGAATTCATTTCCTTTATGCAGAACAGAATCAGCAATTCTCATTATGTTTTTGTTCTTGTAATAGTAGAGTATATTGCAGGGCAAAACAACTGCTGGAAAGAGAAAATGTAATAAAAACTGTGTTTAAAAGCTGATCTCTACAGGATATATGTAATATTGCTTATTCCTCTGAGGAATTATTGCCCACACACTTTTCAAGAGTGCAAGATTTTTGATGCTGCTTTATTCAGAAGAGCATGAAATCGATTTTCCATGCACTTCTAAATTAGGTCACAAGCTTCCTTTTGCCCTGTCTACTTCTGAGCTGTATGACTTACTCTTAATCTTGCCTTTACTATATCTTAAAAGATCACACTGCAATCAAAATTACGTCAACATTTACTCACTCTCATGTTGTTCTAAACCCACCTTACCTTCTTTCTTCTGCGGAACATTTAAAAAAATGTACTGGTAGCTTTAATAAGTAACAACTGTATTGGTTGAGGTTTTTGCTACCGACTGTATGACTTCAGAAGACATGGAATAGTGAATGGACTGCTTTTACTTTCATGGTGCTTTTTGTCATTTTAGGGCTTGCCAGTCCCCCATCTCGTTTCACTTTCATTGTATTGAGCATGATATTTTTCAAAAATGTTGGCTGATATTTACAAAAAGGTATTTTTCAAAAGTACAACTTTTGGTGTTTCGAAAAAAGAGAACAGGTTTAGAACTACATGATGATGACTGTGTTATGACAGAATTTTTGTTTTGAGTGAACTATGTCTATAAAATGTACATTACCATTCAAATGTTTGGGGTCTGTATGATTTTTTTTTTTATGTTTTTGAAATAAGTCTCATGCTTACCAAGGCGATAATTAAAAACAATAATATTGTGAAATATTCTCACAAGATGTTTTCTATTCTAAAATGTAACTTATTCCTGTGATTTCAAAGCTGAATTTTTTCAGCATCATTACTCCAGCCTTCAGTGTCACATGATACTTCAGAAATCATTCTAATATGCTCACTTGGTGCTTAAGAAACATTTCTAATTATTTGCAATGTTAAAAACAGTTGTGCTGCTTAATATTTTTGTGGAAATGTATAAAAAAAATGCAGGATTCTTTAATAAATAGAAAGTTCATAAGAACAGTATTTGAAATATAAATCTTTTGTAACATTATCTTTATCTTTACATGTCTTCACTATCACTTCTGATCAATTTGCTGACCCCAAACTTTTGAAAAGTAGTGTAATATTGGACAATCTTAACAGAATCCTGTTACAGAGGCTGCTGTTCACATGATTTTTTTTAGGTTTTTTTATATCTTTTATGTCCATTACCCTGCAACTAAGTAAAGTTGGCGTATTAAAAGTCTTTACTTACCCACTTGCGAGCAGAAACAATTAAATAGACAGATGGCCCCTCACACTAACTGGGCTCCCGTGTCTTTGGCTACACCAGAAACCCCCTTTTCTCCACATGCCTTAGTGAGCAAGCGAGCGACTCTAACTCCTCCCCCACCCCCTCTGAGCCCACATCAACCTCTGAACTCACTGAGCTGGTCCAGTCATGGCCGGACAAGAAGGTGGGGACAGATTTGGATGACTTGGACGATGATTTCTTGTTGGATGACCCATACTCGGATTTAGAGGAGGAGGAGGGGGAGGATGATGATGATGATGATGATGATGATGAGGGAGAGCTCTGCAGAAGCTCCAGCAAGACTGAGGACCCGTTTTATGATCGCTCGCCATTGTTCAGTGTATTGGGAAGGTTGGTGAGGTTTCAGGAGAATGCTGGGAAAGGAAACTAGCTCTTTCACACTGAGACTGGGTTGTTTTACAACACTGACTTTTAAACATTATATGTGCACAACACTCACACACACACGCACACGCACGCACGCACACACGCACACACACTCACTCACACACACACACACACACACACACACATATGTAGGCCTATACACACAAACATACACATATATATGAGAGATTTTTGTTTACATATGACTACGCTCACATTTATAGACAAACAAATACCTGAAAAAAGGCCAGACATATGCAAATAGGATAATAGTGTATAGACACAATGAGATAATTTGAGTTTTTTTTTTTTTTCAGTTTCTGTTGGTGTCATACACTGTAGTTTAAAATACATTTAATGTATAATGGCTGGGAGTCTGTGTACACTCTTCTTAGTGGGCTTTGAAATGAGAAATATAAACATAGGCACAAATAAGACTGTTGTTGACCTACAGTGCTTAGTATTTAGCTATGAAATAAATTGACATGGGAGAATGGTTGAGTTTTATTTTCTATTTTCTATTGAGATCTCTGACTGTTGATTGCTGATTTTGGTGTTTGGGTCAATGACGTGATAAATGTCAGGGTGGACAAATGTTCTGATATCCTAGTTAAGTAAAAAAAAAAAACTCTATTTGAAAAGAAAATCTAATAATAATAAAATGCAACGTTTAGTACAATATACATTATTAGTTTAGTACTATATATATATATATATATATATATATATTTTAAACAGTGATTCTGTTCAACCTTTTCCAACAAATTAAAGTCATGTGGTGCGATACAGAAATATAACAGGAAATTATATAATAGAAAGGCTTCTGCAGACCCTCATGACAAACGTCAAACAGTCTCCTAAAATATAAGATAATTGGTCTTCCTTTGGCGAGGTAAATTTAGTTCAGATTATAAAATCTCATGGGATGCATCTCCCCAACAACATTTATTAATTTATAATTCATGATATTTGTCCAAAAATAATGTTTACCTCAAAAATATATTATGTAAATATATTCAAGGTGTATTATTACTTTTTATTTGATGGTTACACCACATGACATTTTTCAAAAACGTATGAAACCAACAATTACATTTCTAATAACTGAGAGCATGTTTTAAACCAGATTTTTTTTATTTAAAAAAATGTTTAAAGATTTTTCCCTTTCCTTATCTTGGCCACTCTTATTTGTCAGTATAGCTATGTTTCCATCCAAAGATAAAAATGTAACTTATGCACAAAATTGGAATATGCCATAAAACTTTAGCGAATGAAGCCTCTCTTTTGTTACTTTCTGGGAAATTGGCACAACAATTGCTGCAATTGGACAGCAGTTTTAGTCCAGGTTTCCAATCACATCCTCTGTTGAGGAAAAATCATGCACGTTTTTTTGTCTCACATCAAGGGATTTATTTGGTAAATGCGTTTCCAGTATAGTTAATGCTTTGTCTTCTTATCGGACAAAGAAAAGTATCCACCTCAGTTGAGTGCATATACATATTTTATGTGCATTTTTAGAATTTATGCGCATCTTGGCTTTTCCATCCAGCATTTGCAATATCCCAAAACTCACATAAAAATAGGAGGATGGAAACATAGCTAATGACACTTGAGGAGACATTTACAAAGGTCACTTGATCAAGAGAAAAAGCAGGAGACTTAAGCAAGTCTCCGCTTGATATCCATCTCACTGCTATAAGATATTAAAGAGATCTCTTCTGATTTGTCTTCCCCTGTGGGAAGGATTCCTGGACTTTAGTCAGCATGTCTGGACTTTACCCTGTCTTCTCCCATTATCATACATTTGACTTTCATCTGATCGCTGCAGACACACACCTTGAGCTTCTGGGTTTCAATTTGGACCAAACAGTTGTGATAATTGAATTCAGAATTGGCTGGCTGTCAGCAGCTCCATCCAGCACAGCTTTGGCCCTCGTGTCCCGTCAAGGTCTGTGTCCCAGCTTTACATGCACCGCATCACTTCTTCAAAGGGCTCCGTCAGCTTTGAAGTGCTATCTCCAAACAGTCATATTAGCTGTTTGTTTTGTGTACCGCAGAAACAAACAAGACCAGATTTTTGTGACATGGCATGAATGTCTGATGAATGAGAAAAAAGCTATTAATGTAATGACTTACTAATTGGTTCCCGTAATACAGCAGTTTGGTTACGCAGAGGGTTCACATATCTCAAGATGAAAGAGCTGGTTTCTAGCACAGCTGTCTCTCTTCTGGGCATGTGAGATCATATGCCGTATTTCGACCTTTTTTGTGAGATTTTTACATGGAAACCTTTGATGAAACGGCTCACTCTTTTAAGTTGCGCTTGTGCAATGCACTGCACATCTGTTACAGTATGGCCGCTTTTGTTTTTTGGTGTCTTTATCTTTATTTATTTTTTGGTGTTTGCTAATGGTATTGTCTGTTCACGCTCGCAGTGTCCAGTACTGTCACATTTTATGTCACCGCTTCCACCTTTTTTTGTCATAAGCATGCTTTTTTTGTACCTCACCAAAACCCTTTTTTTTTTTTTTTTTTTTTTTCAGCACTGTTATCTTTCAGTGTCTACCCATGGAAGATGGGCGATGTAGTCCTTGATATCAAATGGATGGAAAACTGTTAATTGTGACAATCAATTACTGTATATGAAATGTCAATCTCAAGGTTTTGGAACATACAAACAGTCGTATTTCTTGTTCTGATCATGGATGTATTCCTTATCCAAATACCCCACAATCATTTGCACAAAAACATATTGAGTCACTCCATGTAACATATTTACTCATGCACAGACTATATAAAAGGACAGTTTGTGTTTAAGTAAAAATGTTTTACATTTTTAATTACAACTATTATAATAATGATAATAATATCAGTTTAACAGCAATTAACACGAATTTTCTGAATGTTTTGTTCCAAAACGTCTTGTGTGATTCTCATATGTACTTATTTGATTAGTGACCTACAGTAGAAATAGTGTGGAATCTTAAGTATGTATTTTTTTCATTTCTATTTCTCTCATCACTACCATTCAAATGTTTGGGGTTGGTACGATATTTGAATGTTTTTGAAAGAATTCTCTTATGCTCACCAAGGCTGCATTTATTTGATCAGAATTTTCAGCAGCATTACTCAAGTCTTCATGATCCTTCAGAAATTATTCTAAAATGTTGATTTGCTGCTCAAGAAATATTTCTTATTATCAATGTTGAAAACCATTCTGCTGCTTAATGCTTTTGTGGATAATTTTTCCCCCCCAGGATTCTTTGATAAATAGAAAGTTTAAAGAAACAGCCTTTATTTGAAATGGACATCTGTTGTAACATTCGCTTTGAAATTTTAAAGCTTTCCTGCTGAATAAAAGTATTATTATTAATAAAAGTATTATTATTATTTAAATCTCTCTGACTCCAAACTTTTTGAACGGTAGAGTATAGTACATTTTTCAGTTTTATTTATAGTTTTAAATTATAAAATTTATCTTCACTTCAGTCCCATGCTCCTTAAACTCGCCCAACATTTACACATATATATATAAACAGATGAAAATACTCTACACCTCCCTGTTTTATATCATGTATCCTGTAAGGAATAATCCTGTCCAGGGCCACAGCAGTGCCTGCTTTTGTGTATATGTTGATCAATGTTTTGTTTGTCCTGTTCGCTGTACATTTGATACTTTGTACCTTTTCTTATTTTCTTCTTCCCTCTCTCCTTTAGGGCTTTTGTGTATTTGAGTAATCTGCTCTATCCTGTGCCCCTGGTACATCGGGTTGCCATTGTCAATGAGAAGGGAGAGGTCAAAGGTTTCCTCAGAGTAGCTGTACAAGCAATATCAGGTAAGATTAGGACTGTAAGTGTCTTGCTGGTGAGTAGAGGGGCACATATTTCCATATAACATTTCTTTGTCTAGATAAAGATATTTATGGATGGTAATAATATGGATTCACCGATATTAAATTCTGTCTCATACCGAGACGACGTATAATAATAAAGATGTAAGATAGTATTTAAGTATTTAAGACATATAGTATTTCAAATAAGACATATATTATATGTATATTATCGGGTTATAGTTGATAACAAATAAATAGTCGATATTAAAATTCTACACTGTTTTATATATATATATATATATATATATATATTAGGCATCACAACATACAAAATGAAAATAGCTGTACTTTATGAGATTTGCTAAAGATTATATTTAAATTAATAGTGTTTTTAAATATTAACTTACAGTGAGTTAGATGATGGCAAAGGTAAACTAAATGTTAAAATATAGAAAATGAGCATGCACAATTTAATATACAATAAATTAAAACGTTCTCTAATGGTAGATGACCGATACGTACCGATATATATATTGTGAATCCTTAGTTTAAGGAAACAGGGAAAAGTTTTGGGGGTTAGAGGGTATATTGTATATATAAAGGGCAAGCTGTGTGTGACTTCTTGAGGAAGTGATGTGAAGGTGCTCTGGTTTTTCCTCCAGCTGATGAAGAGGCACCAGACTATGGCTCTAGTGTCCGACAGTCAGGCACTGCCAAGATTTCTTTTGAGGACCAACAGTTTGAGAAGGTATTGACATTAAAACATTTGTAATGCCTGGAAATACTCCTTGTGAGTGAGAGCTTAATAATTTAATTTTTTTTTTTTTACAAATTTACATTTGTACAAACTTATATTTTTACAAAAAGCTGGAAGATTTATTGTAATGCCCTGGAAAATCACATAAATGAATTGGTCAAAAGCGTGAGAACCATGACACTTGGTGACCTGCTTTCCTTGGTCAACATGGATATTCATATGGCAACTTACTTGAAGTGTTTCTCTTTCCTGTTGAGCAGTTCCAGTCAGAGTCCTGTACTTCTGGTCTTTCCTGTGCTGGTGTTTCTCAGGAAGAGCTCCGAATTGTGGAGGGTGAGGGCCAGAATGCAGAGATGGGACTCTCAGCAGATGAAGTCAACAATAATACCTGTGCAGGTAAGAAATATGGAACATACAGGACATCTTCAAAGAAAATGTTGATCATCATACTCAAAATATACTATTAAATGTATAGAAAAACATGTACTCTACGGTTCAAAGGTTTGGGATTGGTTAGATTTTTTTTTAATGTATTTGAGTTTTTAATGCTCACAAAGGCTGCATTTATTTGATTAAAAATACAGTTAAAACATTAATTTTAAAATAGTATTAAAATTCAATTAAAATAACTGTTTTCTTTTTTAATATATTTAATATGCTCAAGAAACATTTCTTATCACAGGTTAAAACAGGTTAAAATGCTTAGTATTTTTGTGGAAACCATTATTTTGTTTGTCTGAAAGAACAGCATTTATTTTAAACAGATCTTTCGTAACATTATAAATGTCTTAACTGCCACATTTAAGTATTAATTAAAAAAAAAAGAAAGAAGCTGACCCCAAATGTTTGAATGGTAATGTTTGTAAGTGGAAACATGACCTACGAGTTTGTGTGTCTGAAGTCTGAATCTATATGTCAGCTTCCCATATAGTTTTCATATTATTTTAAATTGACATATTTTCTTTCATGTGCTCTTCAGTTAACCCAGAAGAGTTGGACAGCCCTGTAAAAACAGGTTTTGATGGCATACTGGACGGCGCTCTGGATCACTTGAGGATTGGAGAAGTCTTCACATTCAGAGTTACTGTGCTGCAGGCATCAAGCATATCCGCAGAGTACGCAGACATATTCTGCCAGTTCAAGTGAGTGCCTCAGTCCTGTTGTGAAGTCTGTTTCCACTAGTGGACATTTGTCATTGTTCTAAATCTAATATACTTGCATTAAACTCCTCGTTTGTAGTTTTATTCACAGGCACGATGAAGCGTTTTCCACAGAGCCGTTGAAGAACACTGGACGTGGTCCACCACTTGGCTTCTATCATGTGCAGAATGTAAGCTTTGCACTATAACTCAGAGCACCACGTCACACTGTTTTTATTAAGCTGAGGGTAAAACACTTGTTTCTTCGATTTTCCAGATTGCCGTGGAAGTGACTAAATCCTTTATAGAGTACATAAAGACTCAGCCGATTGTGTTTGAAGTCTTTGGACATTACCAGAAGCAGCCTTTCCCTGCGCTCTGCAAGGATCTCATTAGGTAGATCCTGGCAATATTTATTATTTCCAAATCAGATTAATACATGCTACAAATGTCCGAATTCATCCATCAAAGTTATACTGAAATGACAGCCAGATCTCTTTTTTCAGTCCATTGCGCCCATGTAGACGGCAGTTCCCGAGAGTCATGCCTCTTTCCAAACCAGGTGAGAGCAATGACTATTTTTTATGACCATTAACATTGAAACCCCCCCTTTCACCCCATAGGCCACTGCATGTTTTGTAAAAAATAAAGCAGTTGCGATTGGTTAATGTTTCCTGCCAAATCACGTTGAGGCTGAAGCTGTTTAGCACATATTCTCCGTCTTTTGTGTTGCCTGTTTTATGTTGCTTTTTCATGTTTTGGGTCCATGTGCCCATGTCACAGTCTTTATGTTGTTGGTGGTGGGTGTAGCCGCAGATAACGACACCCCTCCTGATCGAGAGAAGAACATGGACCTGATTCGCTTCCTGTTGCCAGAGGTCTTCAATGGGGCTCTGGTGGACTCGCTGTCAAGCCACGCCCTCAATGCAGCAGGCGTGGCTGTTTCCTACCTCCTTGAGGGGGAGGAGCAAGCCAGACTGCCGGCCCCGCCCATGTCTATCTGTTCAGTAATAAAAGCGCAGAAGCCGGGTCTGTAATGGTTCTGAGTGCTTAAGGCCAAAGAATGTCCCTGAAACTGAACCTCTCGTCAGTCTAATGCACTGATAATATAATATAATATAATATAATATAATATAATATAATATAATATAATATAATATAATATAATATAATATAATATAGTGTTGTCAAAAGTGCAGACTTCGGTACCAAGTCGATACTGAACATGTAAAAATGTGACGCTTTGAGCGCTGTTGAGCTGAATCGTTAACACTTCGGAATGGCCATTGTACTCAAGCTCTCATCAAATATGTTACAATGATTGGCTACAATGATCAGTGCTTCAAAAACATGTTGTAAATATACATCAATGACACTCTTCAGCGAGCGCTTACACAGATACACACGGGAGCATTTGAAAGCAGGTGTCTATCAGCTGTCAAACGCTCCTGTGCTTTGATCATTGTAGCCAATCACAGACATATCCGATGAGCTCGTGAACACAATGGCCAATCAGATGTGTTTATGATTCCGCTCAACAGTGCTCAAAGCGTCACATTTTTTAAATTTCATTACCGACTTGGTACCGAAGTCTGTACTTTTGTCAACACTAATATAATATAATATAATATAATATAATATAATATAATATAATATAATATAATATAATATAATATAATATAATATAATATAATATAATATAATATAATATAATAGTGCTGGGCAATGATTAATCATGATTAATCGCATCCAAAAATATGTGTGTGCACTGTGTATAATTATTTTGTATATATAAATACACACATATGCATTTATATATTTAAGAAAAATGTGTAATTTGTAAATAAAATATTTATATATAATATAAATGATGTAAAAATGTATACATGCAAATATTTCTTAAATATATACATGCATATGTGTGTATTCATATATACAAAATAATTAAACACAGTGCACACACATATTATGTAAACACAAACTTTTATTTTGGATGCGATTTATCGTTGGATGCGATTAATCGCAATTAATCGTTGCTCAGCACTAAATATGACATAATATATTTCTTGTTATTTCTTAAACATGTTATACTTAAACATGTGTGATATTTATGCAGTGTCCACTCATTTCCTCCAATCGGGAGTCACACAAAATCCCTGCATTGACAGACTGAAGGACGCTTTGTTCCAGGGACTGTGTTTCGGCCTGTTAATACTGTGTGTGGGTGTATGTATTTTTCTCTCCCTCAGCCTCTCCATACAAACCTTATCAAGCAGATGGACAAATTCTGGTCTTTCTCTATGACATCATTCACCAGAAATAAATTGATGAATAGTACCGAAATAAGACTGTGTAACTGCATGAGTAAAACTGGTTGTTCTGTCACTTGAAACTGAGCTTGATGATGCAGTGGTCTCTAAACATTTGCAGGATATTCATTTTGGGTCATTATTATTATTATTATTATTATTAGGCATTTCGTTGTTAGTTTTCTTGTCTATTTATGTGTCATATTCAATGGTTTGTCTTTAATTAAAATTCTGTCATTTAGTCGTATTTCATTCTAAACCTAGCTTTTTTCTGCTGAACACAAAAGGTGAATTTTTGAGCAATTGTTTTTTATATATAATGTAAGAAAATGAGTAAAAGCAAAACAACTACAAAAAAGCAGCATAATTGTCTTCTGAAGCCACACGATATATTCTCCATACAAGCACATGAGAGAAGTAGAGAAGTCTGCTTTCTTTCAGTGTTTTCATATCTTTTCAAAAAATCAGTTGATCTAGTTCACAAAATCTGAATGAATCAAACAGATCCAGTTCTCTAGTTCAACTCACTGACTCAATATGCTGCCATCGTATGATTTCAGAAGACTTGTATGAATCACTTTTATGAGACCTATATGATGCTTTTTTTGTTGCTGTCATTTTGGTGCTTGGTCCCAGTACTCATTAACTTTCATTACATTGAAAAAAAGTGGACAGAATAAAGAAAAATCTCCCTTTGTGTTCCACAGAAGGGAAAAAAAAGTCATACAGGTTTGGAACGATGTGAGGGTGAGAAAATAATGAGAGAATTTTCATTTTGAGGTGAACTATCCCTTTAATTCTGCTTGGCATGTGCAGATGTTCAGGGATCACTGTTATTCACTTGACTTTATTCATCTTAACAGCAGTGTGCCTTTACATCGGATCCCTGATCTCACACTCCTGGTCCTCTCTAACTATATTCTCTATTCCTCCTTTTATACTGTGATCCATATCTTCCTCTCTCCTGTGAAACTCTAGTATCCCTCTCATCTGCCTTTGAATTATTATATACTTTGATCTATGATTAACTCAATATTGGTTTGACTCTCTTTGTTGTTCTTTCTTTCTCTATTTTCTGCATAGTACCTGCCACCAAACTGACAGCTCTCACACGACCCACAGCAGGACCGTGCCACTGTAAATACGACCTGATGGTCCTCTTTGAAATCTGTGAGCTAGAGGCCAATGGAGAGTAAGTGTCTTGTCTAAACATTGACCTTTTCCCTTTAAATGAAATTTAACTGATTCAGTCTGAGCAGAATAGATTGTAAAAATCGATTACTGTCTTCAGTGTGGTCTGTAAAATTAATGATATCCAGTGAATCCGTATAAAATGTTTTAATTGATTTTTAGATCATGATATAAAGGAAATCATACCTGTTCTCATTCATATAATTGCTCTCAGTACCATCAGGAATCATTTTAGACACTTTACAACTCTTCCCAAAGGACATTTTACACACTTTACATATGTACAGTTTGGGTTTAGTAATTTTTTTTTTTTTGAAAGAAATGCTTTAATTCAGCAAGGATGCATTAAATGTATTGCTGTCAAATCTATTAATCGCATCTAACATACATTTTTTTGTTTACATGATATATGTGTGTACATATTATATTATAGATACATCTGTGTGTGTATATACTGTATATACACACACACATATATTTATACATTTAAATATATTAGTGCTGTCAAAATTAGCTCGTTAACACGTGCGATTATGTTTTCAGTTTAACACATTAAAAAATATTTAACGTAATTAACGCAGCATTAGTTTTTTCTGTCATCCTTTGACTATCTTACATTATATGATCACACTCTTATTCATGCAAATGCTTTTAAACCATTAAAGCGCGACAAGACAAAAGAGAAAGTGCTGTCTGTGAATGTCCTGTCTCTGTGACACACACACAACTCGTGTGCACAGGTAGACGAATGCCAGTTTCGTGCGCACAGACAGCGGACCAGAATTTGTCACGACACACACGGGACAGAAGATCCAATAGCAGCAGTTTATTAATATAAGGGTAATCCAAATCGTAGTCTTCCAGGCAAGGGTCAAAAGCCAAATTATCAAACCAAACATGAAAACAAAACACAAACCAACAAGAAAACCGACCAAGGAAGTGGTGACATCTAACAACGACTCCGTACACATACTAACACAAACAGGGAATATATACACAGATCTAACAAGACTAACAATGACCAGCTGGGAACAATGATGAGGGGGAACAGCTGAGTGCAATGAACTGATGAGTGACAGTGACAGACAGAATGCTGGGAAATGAAGTCAATAGTGAAGGACACCGTGATAACGAGGACCTCTAGTGACAAACAAGGGAACACAACCAGACACTGTGACATAACCCCCCCCTCTACGGAGCGGCTACCAGACGCTCCAAGACATAGTACAAGATAACACAAAACTTCCGGAGGGAGGTGGAACGGTGGAGGATCATGGTGGGCCAGGTCCATGAAGGGAAACAGGAACAGGGGGTGAGGGTTTAACCGGGGACCAGGGCGAAACAGAGAGTCCATCGGGCGACCAGGGCGAAGCAAACAGTCCACCAGATGGCCAGGGCGGTGAAGACCCTTCGGGCGGCCAGGGCGGTGAAGACCCTTCGGGCGGCCAGGGCGGTGAAGACCCTTCGGGCGGCCAGGGCGGTGAAGACCCTTCGGGCGGCCAGGGCGGTGAAGACCCCTCGGGCGGCCAGGGCGGTGAAGACCCCTCGGGCGGCGAAGACCCCTCGGGCGGCCAGGGCGGTGAAGACCCTTCGGGCGGCCAGGGCGGTGAGGACCCCTCGGGCGGCCAGGGCGGAGACGACCCCTCGAGCGGCCAGGGCGGTGGAACAGGAGCAACCACCGGCTCAGGAACTGCAGCAGGCACCGGCTCGGGAACTGCAGCAGGCACCGGCTCGGGAACTGCAGCAGGCACCGGCTCGGGAACTGCAGCAGGCACCGGCTCGGGAGCAGCAGCAGGCACCGGCTCGGGAGCAGCAGCAGGCACCGGCTCGGGAGCAGCAGCAGGCACCGGCTCGGGAGCAGCAGCAGGCACCGGCTCGGGAGCAGCAGCAGGCACCGGCTCGGGAGCAGCAGCAGGCACCGGCTCGGGAGCGGGAACAGACACCGGCTCGGGAACAGACACCGGCTCGGGAACAGACGCTCGGGAACAGACACCGGCTCGGGAACAGACACCGGCTCGGGAACAGACACCGGCTCGGGAATAGACACCGGCTCGGGAACAGACACTAGAACAAACACAGTCACAAAGACAGACACAAACACAGACACAAAAACTGGGTCAGGCTCAGGAACAGGCACTGGCTCTGCCTCCGGCTCTGGAACGAGCACCGGCTCCGCCTCCGGCTCAGGAACGGGCACTGACTGTTCCACTGGCTCAGCCTCCGGCTCGGAAACGGGCACTGGCTCTGCCTCCGGCTCTGGAACGGGCACTGGCTCTGGAACGGGCACTGGAACAGGCACTGGCTCTGGCTCCGACTCTGGAACAGCAGACACTGGCTCCGGCTCTGGAACAGCAGACACGGGCATGTCCAGGATCCGAGCCAGACGCTCCAGATAGTCCAGGTCCATGAAGGCAGACGGCACTGGCTCTGGAACGGGTACTGGCTCTGCCTCCGGCTCTGGAACGGGCACTGGCTCTGCCTCCGGCTCTGGAACAGGCAATGGCTCTGCCTCTGGGACAGGCAATGGCTCTGCCTCTGGGACAGGCAATGGCTCTGCCTCTGGGACAGGCAATGGCTCTGCCTCTGGAACAGGCAGAGGCAATGGCTCTGCCTCTGGAACAGGCAGAGGCAATGGCTCTGCCTCTGGAACAGGCAGAGGCAATGGCTCTGCCTCTGGAACAGGCAGAGGCAATGGCTCTGCCTCTGGAACAGGCAGAGGCAATGGCTCTGCCTCTGGAACAGGCAGAGGCAATGGCTCTGCCTCTGGAACAGGCAGAGGCAATGGCTCTGCCTCTGGAACAGGCAGAGGCAATGGCTCTGCCTCTGGAACAGGCAGAGGCAATGGCTCTGCCTCTGGAACAGGCAGAGGCAATGGCTCTGCCTCTGGAACAGGCAGAGGCAATGGCTCTGCCTCTGGAACAGGCAGAGGCAATGGCTCTGCCTCTGGAACAGGCAGAGGCAATGGCTCTGCCTCTGGAACAGGCAGAGGCAATGGCTCTGCCTCTGGAACAGGCAGAGGCAATGGCTCTGCCTCTGGAACAGGCAGAGGCAATGGCTCTGCCTCTGGAACAGGCAGAGGCAATGGCTCTGCCTCTGGAACAGGCAGAGGCAATGGCTCTGCCTCTGGAACAGGCAGAGGCAATGGCTCTGCCTCTGGAACAGGCAGAGGCAATGGCTCTGCCTCTGGAACAGGCAGAGGCAATGGCTCTGCCTCTGGAACAGGCAGAGGCAATGGCTCTGCCTCTGGAACAGGCAGAGGCAATGGCTCTGCCTCTGGAACAGGCAGAGGCAATGGCTCTGCCTCTGGAACAGGCAGAGGCAATGGCTCTGCCTCTGGAACAGGCAGAGGCAATGGCTCTGCCTCTGGAACAGGCAGAGGCAATGGCTCTGCCTCTGGAACAGGCAGAGGCAATGGCTCTGCCTCTGGAACAGGCAGAGGCAATGGCTCTGCCTCTGGAACAGGCAGAGGCAATGGCTCTGCCTCTGGAACAGGCAGAGGCAATGGCTCTGCCTCTGGAACAGGCAGAGGCAATGGCTCTGCCTCTGGAACAGGCAGAGGCAATGGCTCTGCCTCTGGAACAGGCAGAGGCAATGGCTCTGCCTCTGGAACAGGCAGAGGCAATGGCTCTGCCTCTGGAACAGGCAGAGGCAATGGCTCTGCCTCTGGAACAGGCAGAGGCAATGGCTCTGCCTCTGGAACAGGCAATGGCTCTGCCTCTGGAACAGGCAATGGCTCTGCCTCTGGAACAGGCAATGGCTCTGCCTCTGGAACAGGCAATGGCTCTGCCTCTGGAACAGGCAATGGCTCTGCCTCTGGAACAGGCAATGGCTCTGCCTCTGGAACAGGCAATGGCTCTGCCTCTGGAACAGGCAATGGCTCTGCCTCTGGAACAGGCAATGGCTCTGCCTCTGGAACAGGCAATGGCTCTGCCTCTGGAACAGGCAATGGCTCTGCCTCTGGAACAGGCAATGGCTCTGCCTCTGGAACAGGCAATGGCTCTGCCTCTGGAACAGGCAATGGCTCTGCCTCTGGAACAGGCAATGGCTCTGCCTCTGGAACAGGCAATGGCTCTGCCTCTGGAACAGGCAATGGCTCTGCCTCTGGAACAGGCAATGGCTCTGCCTCTGGAACAGGCAATGGCTCTGCCTCTGGAACAGGCAATGGCTCTGCCTCTGGAACAGGCAATGGCTCTGCCTCTGGAACAGGCAATGGCTCTGCCTCTGGAACAGGCAATGGCTCTGCCTCTGGAACAGGCAATGGCTCTGCCTCTGGAACAGGCAATGGCTCTGCCTCTGGAACAGGCAATGGCTCTGCCTCTGGAACAGGCAATGGCTCTGCCTCTGGAACAGGCAATGGCTCTGCCTCTGGAACAGGCAATGGCTCTGCCTCTGGAACAGGCAATGGCTCTGCCTCTGGAACAGGCAATGGCTCTGCCTCCGGCTCATGAACGGGCTCTGGAACAGCAGACACTGGCTCCATCTCTGGAACAGGAGACACTGGCTCCGGCTCTGGAACAGCAGTCACGGGCATGTCCAGGATCTGTGCCAGACGCTCCAGATAGTCCAGGTCCATGAAGGCAGACGGAACGTGAACAGTCTCTGACTGGGCAGACGAAACGTGAACAGTCTCTGACTGGGCAGACGGGACGTGAACAGTCTCTGACTGGGCAGACGGGACGTGAACAGTCTCTGACTGGGCAGACGGGACGTGAACAGTCTCTGACTGGGCAGACGGGACGTGAACAGTCTCTGACTGGGCAGACGGGACGTGAACAGTCTCTGAGTGGGCAGACGGGACGTGTCTCTTCCTTCTTCTCCGGACCCCCGGACTCGGGACCACCGGAACCGGGACCACCGGAACAGGGACCACCGGAACAGGGATTGTCTCCCGACTACATCCTCCTCTGTGACCTCCACGGGTCCCGCAAAACTTGACCAACCGGGTCCCCTTAAAAAATTCCCTTCTCTCCCGCTCGGTGGCTGGGGAAGAGATATCAAAAAACATACCGCTGGATCAGAGTTGACGGAGTCGTTCTGTCACGACACACACGGGACAGAAGATCCAATAGCAGCAGTTTATTAATATAAGGGTAATCCAAATCGTAGTCTTCCAGGCAAGGGTCAAAAACCAAATTATCAAACCAAACATGAAAACAAAACACAAACCAACAAGAAAACCGACCAAGGAAGTGGTGACATCTAACAACGACTCCGTACACATACTAACACAAACAGGGAATATATACACAGATCTAACAAGACTAACAATGACCAGCTGGGAACAATGATGACGGGGAACAGCTGAGTGCAATGAACTGATGAGTGACAGTGACAGACAGAATGCTGGGAAATGAAGTCAATAGTGAAGGACACCGTGATAACGAGGACCTCTAGTGACAAACAAGGGAACACAACCAGACACTGTGACAGAATTGAGTTCTTTTTCGCGCTTGAACAAACGTATGTGCTGTATTATGTTATACAATGTCATGTGTGCACACTGTGGTCTTTAACTCAAATTAGTTATACTGTACATAAAACTGGCACCAGGATCTGTTAGAGAAACATTTTTGCTGTACACACACGACTAAATGACAATAAAAGCTGACTTTTCTTTATCGAAATTTGATCTAATAAAATTTGTTTTATGGTAACTTATATGAAAACAATGATGTCTAAGATCAATTATTTATCAGCATACCAGACTGGATATGCTTATAAAAACATAATATATAATTAATATCAAATAATTATTATATAATACATATTTTAAGACATATTTTCTATAGTGTATATTATATAGATTAAAATATATTACATATTATTAAGTAAATAATTATTCCTAATGAATAAATCTATCGGCTTTGTACAGTAAATCCTACACTGTGTTTCTACATCCCGGAAAGCTTGACTGCTGGTTATTGTATTTGACATGTATCTGTCCCTTGCAGCTATATCCCAGCCGTAGTGGACCACCGGGTTGGCATGCCCTGCCATGGCACATTCATGTTACATCAGGTACTGGAAATTATTTGATTTTTTTTATTGTGTAACACAGAAACCATAGTCCATACTATTTTAACATTAGAGTACAATATGACATACAACATCACAACATTTACATAACAGGGCATCCAAAGGAGAGTTACAGTCACCATAGTACATGAGTCAGGAAGAGATATCGAGTGGAAGGAAGTGCGAGAGCTGGTTGTAGGTGAGTTTGGCCTCAAATTCGAACTCATGTTCAATGCATATAAGTAAAGAGCGATATTGTGATATTCAGCAAACGGGATGTATTTTCACGTTTGACAGGGCGCATCCGGAACACACCTGAAGCAGATGAGGCGATCATCGACCCCAATATTCTCTCTCTCAACATACTGTCTGCAGGATACATTCGACCCACACAAGATGACAGGTACCTTACCAACACTAATAATTATGTCAAGAAGACCAGTTTAGAAGTTTACAAATAAAATGGACATTCTCATGTTTTTCATGTCTTTAACACTAAACATAAGATATCTTGAAAATTATGCTTGTCATTTTATATACAGTCGTGCTCAGAATTAATGGCACCCCTGGTAAATATGATCAAAACTGGCTGTAAAAAATACATTTGCATCGTTTATCCTTTTGATCTTTCATTAAAAAAAACTTGCCAAAAATCTAACCTTTCATTGAAGTAAAAGAATTGACACATTCTGTTGTCAGACAGAACACGTTGTGTCTCCAAAACACCTTGGCCACAATCACCCTTTTATTAAATACTTTTTGCAATCTCCTTTTGACAAGATAACAGCTCTGAGTTTTCTCCTTTAATGCCTGATGAGTTTGGAGAACACCTGACAAGAGATCAGAGACCATTCCTTCATACAGAATCTCTTCAGATTCCCAGATCCATGTTGGTGCTTCTTCTCTTCAGTTCAGCCCACTCATCAGGTCAGGGAACTGGGATGGTCAGAAGCTTCATTTTGTGCTCCGTAACAACTTTTTGTGTTGATTTTGATGTTTGTTTTGGATTGCTGTCCTGATGGAAGATCCAACCACGGCCCATTATAAGATTTCTAGCAGAAGGCGTCAGGTTTTGATTTTTTATCTGTTGATATTTGATAGAATCCACGATGCCATGTATCTGAACAAGAAGTCCAGGACCTCCAGCAGAAAAATATGCCCACAATATTGAAGATCCAACGGTATATTAAATTGTACACATGGGGTACTTTTTATCCTTGTGTGCACCAAACCCATCTAGCGTGTTTGCTGCCAAAAAGCTCCTTTTTTAGTTTCATCTGACCACAGAACCTTTACTTCATATACTTCAGAATATACTTCAGAGATATTTTACTCGTAAAAAACTCTAGGGGTACCAATAATCGTGGCCAACGTGTTTTGGAGAAAAACATTTATTTCATAATGTGATTTAATGAAAGATCAAAAGGATAAACGATGCAGATTTATTTTTTACAGCCAGTTTTGATCATATTTACCAGGGGTGCCATTAATTCTGAGCACGACTGTATAAGAACACTGCCACAAGAGGTTACAGTACATGGGAGATTTATTCTTCTGTCATGAAGCCTTTTTTCTCCTTGAACACTCAGTAGCAGAGTTTGTCCACTTTAGCTGTTTCCCACTCCACTCTTTTTAATACCAGGTCTCCATTTTAGTGATTGCTGCACTTAATACGACTCTCTCCTCAGCCTTGGCATATGATCTGAGAGCTGAAGCCAAGCCTGTGAGACAAACAGTTCTCTGCACAACTTTAAAGCAATGAGTTTTTGCCAAAGAGAAATGAGTCAGTGAACCAAACCTTCCAAACAGCTCTTAAAGGCTTGACACAAGGGAGTGATTCAGAATCAAACGGCAACGCAACAGTGCCAGCCTTAGATAAAGACCAGAAGTATATTTACACTTTTATGTTCCTTTGCACAAACATACCATAACTTGCTGCACGGTTGTGGGCACTGACAACTGACACATCCTAGAACTGCCATATTGAGGCTTTTAGTATTATCGACAGGGTGCAAAGTATGCTTGGCTTGGGGAAGTCTGATCCTCCACTTAAGGTTTGAACCTTAAAAAGTACACTACTGTTCAAAAGTTTGGGGTCGGTACTATTTTTTTAAAATGTTTTATAAAGAAGTCTCTTAAGCTTACCAAGGCTGCATTTATTTATTCAAAATACAGTAATATTTTATTACAATTGTACAACAAATATTATTACAATTAAAACTAACTGTTTTCTATTTGAATACATTTTAAAATGTAATTTATTTCAGTGATGGCAAAGCAAAATTTTCAGAAGTCGTTACTCTAGTATTCTATGTCACATGATCTTTCAGAAATCATGAAATGGAAATATCAAAAATACCTTATTTTTCAGGATTCTTTGATAAATAGAAAGTTCAAAAGAACAGCATTTGTTTGAAATCGCAACCTTTTGTAACATTATAAATGTATTCACTGTTACGTTTGATCAATTTTATGCATCCTTGCAGAATGAAAGTATTAATTTCTTTAAAAAAAAAAATTTTTTACTGGCAACTGACCCCAAACTTTTTGAACAATAGTGAAAGTAAATTGTTTTAATTTTACATATTACATAGAGAATGTAATTTTTTTTTTTTTTACTTTAAAGGTTAAAATTGTGTCCAAAACTATTTTCAAAAACTGAAGATATATTTGAAGATATTTCTTCCTGACAAAACTGCTTCTTTTCACTCTTTTTTCATTAACAGCGTCAATATAATTAATCAACAAACAATGAATCATTTTGTGATTTAACTGAAAACAATAGTTTTATTAAGGGAAAATGGTTTTAGAGGGTTTTTCATTCAAGCCATTCTGAGACCCATTGGAAGTTAGTCATTTTATTTATTTATTATGTATTTTTTTATATTTACGTAACAAGTATATCATACAAAAATGTTTTGTGTAAAAAGTTGATAGTAAGATTGTTGTTTACTGAAAATTAAATGGTTAGCGTTTGGCAAAATGAACAGATTTTTTTTTTTAATTGTTAATTTTTGTTTTACCATTTTTAATTCTAAGACTGATTTATATGGTACACAGGTGGAATAAACTTGGATAAATGCTTAAAATATATTAACACAACCTCTCAACACACCTCTTTTTTGTTGGATTGTGTTTAATTATTGCAGAGACCTTTCTGCATGACATAACAACAGCGAGTCAGGATACGCATCGCTTGACTGACAGACTAATTCCTGCAACTGCTCTTTTTCTGTTTAATAAAACTCATAACTAATAATTCCCCTCCCACTGCACACATGAGACAAAATGTGGTTCTATTAGCCACTATGAAGGAGGTCACAATTCAATCTGAAGATATGAATTCACTATATTTTCCGACATGCAGGAAATTGAAAATGGTTCTCTAGTTCACCTCCTTGCTGGTTGTGCAAGTCTTCCCATCTGATGCTGGTCTGCATTTGTGTCCATTCTCATCTGTTCATTCCATTCGCTCTGTCCACACTCCATTGCTCAGATTCAGCTACTGTACCCTCTCACTGAACCACACAGTGGATCGAGATCTTGGCATCTCTGCTGGTCACCATCACGTCGTTGTGATCTGCATGTGAAGAATTTTTTTTAAGAAAGCTTAACGTTAAAAACACTTGAAGCTTATTTATGAAACTTTACTAATAGAATCCATCATTAACATTCTCTCATCATGATAGTTATTGGAAACAAAATGCTACGTTTCTCATGTCACGTTACACGCTAGCCAAACAAAGCATTTTTTCATCTGCAATGCATTACTATGACATCACCTTAAATGGGCATCATATATCAGCATCCAGACTTTGCAAACATGAAATGCTTAAAGTAAAGTCATAATCATGTAGATATCTTATATTATCAGATTTATCCACCGATGCAAAACTGCATGAAAGAGACATTATTGCAAACCTCTCGTTTCAAGCAGCTGTGACCTCCTCTCCTGCGATGTAACCACACGTCCTAACTAGATAATCCACACTAGACATACCCATACAACCATGTGTCGGAGCTGGATTCATTCACCAAGGACAAAGATGTGACAGGAGAGTTGTGCAGAGGTCTCATCAGAAACTGTTGGGCCTCCACACAAGCTCCTCTCCACAACCTTCTGATTCTGACATTTCTCTAGTCCACTAACAGAATGTTGTTTTGTGTTTTTCCAGACAGTTTCTTGATTCGGACATGCCTAGGTATATTACCTTCAAATCCCTCTCCTCCCATTTTATCAGACACACACACACACACAACAGAATGTGTATTTTTCATCTTTTTATTTCTCTAGCCATCTGTCTAATCAACCTCCATCGTTCTTTTGCGTAATTTTTTTGGCTCCCAAATACTGTTCTTTTTGCAATCATGTTGGTTTGTCTAGTTTTTTCTCCTTTCCTCCTACTATTTCGGAAAATGTGAGAGAATTTCACTCTCGCTCCCATGGAAATGCTTTTGTGTGTGAAGCTTCTGTTGTGTATTGTATGATTTTGACATTTTTGGCACCAGGTGACTGGATTGCATGGCTTGGCTTTTGTATGGGCTTCATTTTTGGCTGAATCATTTACAGGAGGTGTGGTAGAGATCATAGTCACGTTCCCAGTTAATAGGGAACATTCTCAGAACTTTACGTTAACGCTCTAAAAGTTATGAAAAGAATCTGATCTTTAATAATGCTCTCAAAATGGTAGCACAAAAACATTATTTATACATTGTTTACGGAACTATTTTTTCCCCCAATATTTTTTTAATGTAACACAGGACATTTAAAGCTAACATCCCTATAGTGTTTGCAAAACGATAAAATTAAGTTCACATAACCAAGAACAACTATTGAACATTTTGAAAGTTTGATTTTGGACGTTTCAGAGAACATTATAACGTTTTCATAACTAAAAGAAAACGAATCGGTTACCTAACGTAACTTCGGTTCTCTCTAGATGAGGGAACGAGTATTGCGTAAGCTAGCTTACGCTACGGAAAGATTAATCTTTTCTGAAATATTGAAGCCAAAAAATTATTCCTGGGATAGCTTCCCACGCTTTGAAGCGTAGGGGGGGGGGGGGCGGCGGTGGTCTGCGGCGGTCTGCGGCGGCTGTCTGAGCGCGATCTAGGGCGGCCGCCCTGTCGACGCTGAGAAGTCTGGCTGTGCTGAGCTGGGCGCTGTGAAGGGGCTCGTGCAGGAGGCTGGTCACGTGGGCGGCCTGCAGAGGAGCTAGCACGACGAGGCAGGAAAAGGTTCATGGCTTGGGTGGCTTTCTGGACTTCCGAGAAGCGATCAATAATGCCACTCACCGCGGAACCGAAGAGACCGGAAGGAGAGAGCGGCGCGTTGAGGAACGTGGCGCGTTCAGTTTCTCCCATGTCGGCAAGCGTTAGCCACAGATGTCTCTCGGTCACAGTCAGCGCGGCCATGCACTTTCCCAGGGCTTGAGCTGCAGCTTTTGTGGCGCGAAGGGAGAGATCCGTCGCGCTCCTTAGGTCTGACACAGCCTCTGGGTGCCTGTTTTTCTCATCCCACTCCCGAAGAAGGTCCGCTTGGAGGATCTGCAAGACGGCCATGGAATGCAGAGCGGATGCGGCTTGGCCGGCGGCGGCATAGGCGCGGCCAACACAGGCGGAAGTAGTTCTGCAGGCCTTAGACGGGAGCGCGGGCTTAGACCGCCATCTCGCGGAGGGCGGGCAAAGGTGCGCTGCAACCGAATCCTCGACCGGGGGGATAGAAGAATAGCCCTTCTCGGCGGCGCCATCCACCGAAGAGAGAGAGGTGGAGGCATGGGAGCGGATCCTGGCCGAGAGAGGCGCGCTCCATGACTTAGTGAGCTCGGCGTGGAGTTCCGGCAGGGCCGCGGCCGCCGCGCGGCGACGGCTCTGGAGAAAGCAGCCGTCGAGTCTGTTGGGGGCCTGCTCAGGGGGCGGTGACCACTCGAGCCCGAGGCGGTCGACGGCCTGTGTGAGGAGGCGCATTAATTCCTCTTCGACTCCGGCACGGGTCCTGCTGGATTCGTGGGCCGACGAGGAGGCGAGGGAGCCTGACCACTCCTCGCTGTCCGAAGCCATGACGGAACAGCAGTCCTTTACCTCCGCCTCGTCATCCGAGATAGCAGCAGTGCGGCCGCTCGGCGGCAGCTGTGCGTCCGGGGAGGGCGGGGAGGGCGGGGGGTGAAAGCGAGGCTCGAGGGAGAGGCTCCGGCGAGACAGTCGCTTCCAGCACCGGTTCCGGTGGCCTTTGGGAGCGGCGCTTCTTCTTGCGTGGCGAGACGAAAGGCGGCGCGGCGGCTTCGGCTTTGAACGCTTCGAGTCGAGCCCGCAGGGTCGACATCGGAAGCTCCTCGCAGAGGTCGCATCCGCCGTCAGCAAGAGCGAGCTCTGCATGCTCCAGTCCCAGGCAGAGAGCACAGATGAGGTGGCGGTCTCCGGCGCTGAGAGGGGCGCGGCATGAGCCGCAGGTGGTGCGAGGCATCTTTACAAAGATGCTCGTGCTCTTTTGTGAAGTTCGCTGAGGAACTAGCTTAGCTCTAAAAAGGATACGTCACCGGATGCCGTAGCTTGCCGGATGGCTGAAGGTGGCGAAGACGGCCGGCTTCCTCAAGCGCTGTCCAAGCTCGCTAAAATGCCCCTCAGACGGTGACGCGGCTTCTGTGGATCAGATGTGAAGAGCTTCGCTGAAGAGATGAAAATTAGGGAAGCAGCCTACGAACCTCGCTTATACACTCTAGCCACGCCCAGTTTGGCGGGCTGTGATGCGATGAAGGCGCGAGCGCCTCTCATTGGACGCGAGTTCATTCAGTTCGTCTATAGGCTGCAGCAGTTGCCGCAGAGCAACCAATGAGCTCGCTAGCTAGCCCGCTCAAGGTCTGCAGCTGCTGCACTGCGTTGACAATGGATACAAAATTAAGGATAATTTTTTGGCTTCAATATTTCAGAAAAGATTAATCTTTCCGTAGCGTAAGCTAGCTTACGCAATACGAGAGAACCTCTCGTAAGAGAACTAAAGTTACATAACGTTCTTAGAACATTTTTGTTAGCTGAATCCATTTTATGTCAACTTCATAAATAATTTTGTAATCTGCGTCAGCCACTTCTTCATCAGTCACACATTCCTCCAATTTAAACTAAAAGCGTTTTTATAATATTTTTAATGAGTCACTCTTACCACACACGCTCCGTCAGTCCCACATAAAAGTTATTGCTCTTGCTCAACGAATTCTCAACAAATTAGCTGACATCTCTTAATTAAAAATGTATGGTTTCATTTAAACAGTTCTGCAACTAGATCAAGTTCCATCACAAATGTCAAAGCAACACCATAAAACACAATTTCGCCTGTGTGGGGCGATAACTGTTGGCCAGACCACACACCATGAGGTCTGTGTTGTTTATGGGCGGGAGGGCTTGATCTGCTAACCTCAGTATTAATCATGAATCTCTGAGCAAAATTAGTGTTATGTTAGTCCACTGAGATTTATGATCTCATACGAAAAAAATGCGTTTAGTTAAGTTTATTGACAGGTAGTCTTCCCTTGCATTCTCTGCTCACATTAGCCATTCTTTTTTACCACTAGGAGGTAGTGTTGATCAAATTTTTTTAAAGGTTTCATATGCTGCCTGAATGACTATAAGCTAACATTTCTAAGAGCTGCTTGCAGATTTCTAATTATTAAATCAGGACAACTATAATCCCAGGAAATAGCGGCTTGTTTGTAAATATAAGGGTGGTGTCGTCACAGAGCGGTATGAGAGCATTGTTTTTATCCAAATCTGTTTTTCTTGTTGCAATGCCAGAACTGTTCCATTTGCCAGGGCTATTACAGATCACACTGAGAATTTTATTTATCATCCACATATTTTAACACCCTCTTTTACAGTAAAATTACATATAATGCGGTATAGTATTAAACCTGTAACCTGTAATTTACTGTATATGGTGGTAAGATAATGTACAGTTAATTAAGTGCATTTACATCTGCAAGATGTATTTTTTAGAGTGTTTGCGCATCTGCAATAAGACGTTTCTTGTCAGATGTTAAATAGACATTTAGAAAATGTCTTTAAGATGTTTATGATTTAGAATGTATGTAAAACTGTTTTTATCAGATGTTTGTACACATCTGATGTTTTCCAAATAAAGGGCTCTTTAGCAGACTTCTTAGGGACGTACCTTTGCTATCTGGGAAACTTTTTTTTACAGTGTAGGTGCTTTTTTAAACTTGCAGTCCATAGTTCAAATGTAGAATAGAAACTTTAGCTAATGTTCTGGCAAAGTTCTTTCAAAGTTACGAACAAGCGTTTTTCCAGTAAGGTAAAGAGAATGTTCATTAGTTAGCCTATCTGGTTGAAAAATTGCTTAACATATTACAATGAGTTAAAGCAATGTAAAAACATGTTATCATAATTTATTGATCATATAATTTTTTACAGTGTACATTATTAATGGAATGTTTTTTTTATGAAATATTTTAATTGGACATTCATCAAACGTTTTTTTGTACTTCAATACTTACTAGGCCTACTTGTTTCAAAATGTTCAAAATATTCAAAAACTAACGTTCCCATAATGTTTGTAAAATGATAAAAATGGAATGTTCCCCTAATGTGGAACGTTTTTAGAAGGAAAAAAATAATAAAATGTGTTCCGAGACCTTTCAGAAATAATTTTTCCTTATTGTGAATGTTATCTAAATGTTTTTAGAAAATGTTTTTGTTAGATAAGTAATGATTTTGGAAGGTTAGATATCCTCACATAATTCCTCAAAGTATTTGATATCATTCTTAGTACACACTTGTCACCTTGGCAACTGTACCATTATCCACACCCCAACATCCTCCAATGTAGTTCTTACTGTCCCAAGAGCTAGCCAGGGAGTTGAGTATAGCCCTGTAGTGTCCCTCCTCCCATATATGTTGTCACAGAAACCAATTTTAATTTCCAGCAGTTTGGGTGGCAGTGTGCAACAGCTCAACAATCCATGTAAGCATTATCTTCAATATTATTTAGGTCCTCAATGCAGGCAGAACCAATAAACGAAAGAAATGTCCCTCTGTACATTTTGCCAAGAACATGAGTTATAGTTTGGATTGGCTGATATAAGAAAATTAAAGGGAAAGAAAAATTGAAAGGGAAGGTAAAACAACAGGAAATCTATTTTATCGTGTATAAATGGGAGGTGGAAATTGTCCTCACAATCCCTCATCTCGATTTGTATGCTGAGCTTGATTTATGTGTTGTTTTGGGAGTTAACAATAGCGTCAGAAATGAATGGCTGGGTGTCTTCTAACTGTGTTTGTATCCTAACCTGCTAAAGCCAACTCAAGCGAGAGTCCAGTAGCTGTTTTGGAACATGGCAGTTGGCTTCAAGCTGGTTCAAATTGGTTTGTATGCTTGATGTGGAAAATGATGGGGAACTGACTGAGCTGGTAGACCTGAGCCCAACTGAGACACATCACCTCATCTTAAGGCCATGTGGTACACTCTCAGAAATAAATTGTAGCTGTTACTGAGATGGTACCCTTTCAACTTTGTACCTTTTTTAGCCCTAAAGGGTGCACATTTGGTACAGATTAGTACCCTCTGAAAGGGTATAATTTCAGTGACAGCTTTTGTACTGTTTTCCTAAAAATATTGCTGGTTTGTTCCTGGTCCAAGATGATCCAGCAGCTCAGCAGGTTCCCATCAGCTGCAGGGCTGTAACTATAATTGAGGATGCACGTCCCACAAATATTCACAATAGTGGTTGATCAATATGGAGCTTTCATTTGCAGACATGTCCACAAGATACTAATGTAGAATCTAAGTGGCAGATTTACTAAACAAGGCAATTCCAAACAAGAGCGTAATTCCAAAAAAAAGTGCCTATTGGAGTGGAAAGTTCTGCACATGATCTGCTGACCACATGCACATTAAAGAACACAGACGCAGCCGGATCATTTCCATAATGTCCAACGCAATCTATCAAGAGCAGTGCAAATTAGCGTCTGGTTTAAGACATGCTTTTTTGGGTGCAAATAACAGTAAATTGACTAGTACAAACCTTAGTAAATTACCACGATTCATTTAAATACTCTTCTCCCGTAAATTGAGTCTGAAAAGGAAACTCCTTCAAATGCATATGCTATAAGGTCAGTGGCAAAAATAACCCTGTCTATGCCTTTTCAGCACTAATCTTTAGTAAATCCTGACAGTAGTTTTTTAACGCCAAATGAGAGTTTGCGCTGGCACAAGCTGTTAGTAAAGTCTGTCATGGCCAAGTCTTTGTCAAGTTGTGTATATATTAGTTTCATAAACCCTGTTGCAAAACAATCAATTTAATATTAAAAAAAATAAAAAAAGTAATACTTGCCTAAAAGAAAGTATACAGTGGTTTACTTGAATCAAAAGATCAGTTTATCTTGTAATTAATGGATAATGAATAAACTATCCCAATCGTCAAGGGAGGGTCTATTCTCAGAAAAACAGAAATTCTTTTAAGGCAAGGCTTTCTTTCCTTATACTTATCCAATTATTAGGAGATGCCTCTTCATTTTCCCCCATGGCGTTATACAATTAACGACTGAGGATCACTTTAAAGTCATTCCAAATGCAACTAATGAATACATAAACGTGCCTCGTTAGGAGACGCATGACAAATGTAAAAGAGTCTGTTCCATGATACACTACTCAATTTTCTGTGAAATTGCCCAAAATCTGCAAACTGGCTTTGACTTTTGGCAACAAGCATTGACTTGTCCAGACTGCAAAAGTCTAGAAAATGTCTTTTCTAGAATTGTCATTATTGGATGAACTATCCCTTTAAGGACTTTAATACTAAGTAGGATCTATACCAAGTCTGAATGACAGCCACAAAGCTGCCTACTGGGTCATGCCGGTCCATTCACTTTAACACTCAACATATAAAGCACACAAGCTCAATCTATCACATACCTCAGAGAAGCTCGGCCCCTCTCATGTACTTCAGACTCAGGCATTTCGAGATTTAAGACCCTTACCTGGCGTAGGGCCAAGTGGATCCAATCTGTGATCATTTCAGTGGGTTATGACCTATATTTATCAGAGCGAGGGAGGGTACTGTAGGCTTGAAGTTCAACAAGGTGAATATAACCTATGTGTAAGAGGCAGCCCATACGGTTTTCATATAGTATTCTATTCTCATGAAAGGGGATTGCTTTAGGGTCAATATTAGTTCAGTTGTACTTCATGAAAGTCTGTGAAATCATAACAAAGCTGATGTGAGTTGGAGATGCAATTACATCGCTTATTGAGATAAATGTGCTATATGCTTCAATACCGCAGCTTACCTCTCTGAACTGTCTTACTTATGATTCTATCATTGATTCTTTCCTTCTCACCTAAAGCATTTCCTTGGGGACTGATTCTAGGTATAAGTGTCCGCTTGTACCTGCCTCCCTCTTTGAATGGTTACGTCTTTCATCCGTCATCATTTTAATTTTATTTTTGTCCTCTTTTTTTTATTGATAACTGTCATCGTTCTGCAAATCATTGGTGGTGGCATTCATATCTAGTGATGAAGCTTAAGTGTTTTGTTGCATGCATTTATATTGTCTCGTATTCACAATTTTTAAACACTCTTAAAATGTCACTTTAAAATATGATCTTTTTATCAAAGTTAAAAAAATAACATTTTAGTATTGCCTTTAGTAATTGTTTTGCCTAAAAGCAGACACTATTTATGTATTAACATAGTTAATGCATTTAGCCTGATAATATTTACAAACTTCTAATATTAATAAGAGAATATGTAAATTCACCTTGGTCTATGTTGAAATGATGTCTTTAAGGCTGTTTTCTATCATAGGACATTCTTCCGTTTTGATGCTGCTTGGGATTCATCCATGCACAACTCTTTGCTGCTAAACCGTGTCACTCCTTATGGAGAGAAAATCTACATGACTCTGTCTGCTTACTTGGAGGTAACCAAGGCCATTTACTTATTTAGTTACATGATTTAGTTCCAGATAATTTAATCTAGCAAACAGCCAATGGCATTTGTAATGGTTGAATCAAGTACATATGTGGAAGAGAGGCAAATGGCAGTAAACCTTGTGGCTCTATAGAGCACAACAGTATCTGCCCAGTTTTAGTAGTTGTCTTGGTTCTGGAAGTATAGTTCCCATTCATTTTTCCACAGACAAAAAAAACAACAACTTGATGTTATCAAAAACTTTTTTAAGTATAGAAACAATATATTAAAATGTTTTTGAAAGAAGTCTCTTACGCTCACCAAGGCTGCATTTATTTGATCATAATACAGTAAAAATTTAAAATAACTGTTTTCTATTTTAATAAATTATATACATACATTACGGTATATGTCTGTATCTTAATATAAATGTGTTTATTTATGAATTTTCAGTGGCACATGATCCTTCAGAAATCATTCTAATATGCTGATTTGTGATCAAGAAACATTATCTATGTTGAAAACAACTGCTTAATATTTTTGTGGAAACCGTGCATTTTTTTCAGGATTTTAATTGAATAGAAAGCTCATAAGCATTTATTTCTAACAGCATTTATTTGAAATATTTTTTTACAACAATGTAAAAGTCTTTACTCTTACATTTGGTCGCTGTAGAGCTCTTTTGGCGTAATTTGTTGTTCGATTCTTTTTATTTTTTATAAATAGGTTTAAAAAACATGGACTAATGATTTCAACAGAATCATATACTATCAATTAACAACCTTGGAGCTCATTGGAACCCAACTGTTGTGCTCTATGGGTGTTTCTTGTTCTTGGTCATTTTTAAGCACCATTTTAGATCGAAAAGCTCACATTTGTTTTCTTTTCCCAGATGAAGAACTGCACACAGCCCACAGTGATAACCAAAGACTTATGCATGGTGTTCTACTCGCGAGACGCCAAGCTCCCGGCATCTCGCTCCATCAGAAACCTCTTCAGCAGTGGCACCTTGAGGCCATCTGAAGGGTACGGCTGCTTTGTCACTGTCAAGGGTACACCCCACTGTCAAGGGTACACTGCAGAAGTCCTTCGCAGTGTACCTCTTATAATTGAAGTTACCATAAGGTTTTCTGTTGTATGTTTTTACACGTAGAAACCGTGTAACTGGTGTGTATGAGCTCAGTCTGTGCCACCTGGCTGATGCAGGGAGCCCAGGTAAGACACTAGTCTGTTTAACTGAGGATTTATGAGATCCTGGGCATTTATGAGACATTTTAGGGGAGGTTCTGCTGTTGAAATGACACCTCAATGTGCAGGAATGCAAAGACGGCGCAGGAGGGTGCTGGACACGTCGGTGGCGTATGTGCGAGGGGAGGAGAACCTGGCTGGCTGGAGGCCCCGCAGTGACAGCCTCATCCTGGACCATCAGTGGGAGTTGGAGAAATTGAGCCTCCTGCAGGAGGTGAGAACATCTATATGGTTTTTAATGTGAAATGACAAGAATGTGTCATTGGCGGCCCTGCTGAGTATCTGAGACTTCATTTCCTTCTGCGATATGTTAGGTGGAGAAAACTAGACACTACCTCCTCCTTAGGGAGAAGCTGGAGTCCACCCTGCTGCTGGGCCAGGAGTCGCTGCTGTCCTGCGGGAGTGAAGATCTAACCGAGTCCTCTTCCCCATCCACCCACCTGGGCCTGGGCCACAGCCCCGGCCCCGGCCCCGAAACACCCAACGAGAGGCAGAAGGAGCTGGCTGCAAAGGTTTTTTAAAATTGAAGGAATTTTAAGATCACTTCAGGAAATCGTGAAAAAAAGGCTCTTGTCAATCAGTTTAACGTTCCCCTTTTCTGTTTATCCCCAACAGTGTCTGCGTTTGCTTAACCACACCTTTAACAGGGACTACAGCCATGTGTGTGTTAGCGCCAGTGAGAGCAAGGTGAAGATATTAAGAATATTTGACACTATTTTACACCTTTTCCTTCTGTCAGTTATCAACAATACATTATTAAGAAGCTTTTAGGAGCTCAGGCCGCTGAGAATATACCGCCTTTAAAAAGTTCTGACTATTGCTGCAGAAACCTACAGAAATTAGATTTTAGTCATGTGATAGACTTCAACTTTTTTTGAAGGAGCATGTTGTGTTCTGTTTAATGACTGTTTTTCTCTGTTGTGATGTGTTGTAGTTGAGTGAGATGTCAGTAACTCTTTTGAAAGACTCAGCCTCGGTGTGTGCTGAAAGCACTCTCACACCGTCCTCCACATGTCCATCTCTTGTGGAGGGACGCTACGGCCACAGCACCGATCTCAGGTCAGTAAATAGTGACTGCTGCCCCATTTAGAGATTTAAAATAATTTTAACAAGCTGATTTATGCAATACAGACTAAAAAAATGCATAAATTACAGTTTTTAAAATGTTTTTTTTTTTCTGGCCACTCCCGTCTACTATTGATCAGACTGAGGGGGTGTTTACACGTAAAACTTTTTATTCGTTTTGGCCGTTCTGTTACACGACAACGATGTTTTGGGGGCCTGAAAACACAAACTTTTGTAAATGGGTTTCAAAGTCCAGTTTTTCAGTTTTTGAAAACGATACCGTTATCGTCTCCGTGTAAACTACAAAAATGTGAAATTGTGAAAACTGTGACGCCATGAGCACGCGTATTACGTGTTCAGTCTGTGTTGCGTATTGTTTCTTTACAAAGTAACATCGCCAACTACTGGCCTAAGCATGCACAATACAGCGTTTTCAGTCGTTTTCGTGGATCCGCATGTACTCGAAAAACGCAAACGAAAAACGTTTCTGTGTTTAATACATTGGTGTCGTGTAAGCGTACCATTAAGCCCAGAGTATACTTTGGTTTTTACGTGCACACGAGGGTCCACTGCGTGACGCAAATATTGTCACCAGAATATATATGATATATATATATATATATATATAAATGTCAATTTTACTAAATAATTTGGAGTCTAAAAATGGTAGAAAGCCTAAAAAGTATGTCTAACCAAGTTGTGTTACAAAATGAAGTTGATATCACAAAAATGTTGCCCTCTAAAAGGGAACGCAATGTCCAATTTTGAGTGCTTATGACCACTACCAGGGCACTGACAGGTACAGGCTATATTGTCATGTTTAGGAATATTAGTCTAACACCATCTAACTAGTACAGTAGTTAGTAACTGTTTTCTTACTGCTCATATGTGTAGACCCCCAACACCTCGATCTCGTGCTGTCAGCCCCATCCCTGAGTCTGAAACAGAGGGCATGAAGTCTCCTCAACTGTCCAGATCAAGGACCCACACTTTCGTGCCAGATATTCAGGAAATCCGTGTCAGGTAAAAAAAAATATATATACAGAAGATAAGCAATTCCTTTTTCTTTTACATTTGCCTGTAAATTCAATTCAATTTCTGAGATTTCATGAATTTACATGTTTGGAAGATGACTCTAACCTGTACTCTATTTTGTCGCCGCAGCCCAATTGTGTCAAAGAAAGGTTATTTGCACTTCCTGGAGCCCCACAGCAATGGCTGGGTTAAGAGATATGTGGTGGTGCGCCGACCTTACGTCTACATCTACAACACAGAGAGAGACACAGTGGAAAGGGCCATTCTTAACCTGTCCTCGGCACAAGTGGAGTACAGCGAAGACCAGCAGGCAATGCTGAAGGTAAAACATCGATGAATATTCTCTTTTCTTTGAGTAAATCAACTGAACTGTGTAACCCAATGTCTGTCTGAACTGCAGACCCCCTACACGTTTGCGGTATGCACAGAGCATCGTGGGATACTCCTTCAAGCCAGTAATGACAAGGAGATGCATGACTGGCTGTATGCCTTTAACCCTTTGCTTGCTGGATCTATCAGGTACAGTGGATAACATATCTAACTCTTTCACACACACAAAAAAAGACCTTAAATGGCACTATTTGTTCAATTGTCTTCTTCCCGACAGGTCTAAACTGTCTAGAAGAAGAGCCGGGCAGATGAGGTTTTGAGCCCACCACATGTACAACTCTTCGAGGACAAAAAACACTAAGGACTATACTTGTAAATAGATCTACTGACAGATCCCCCAGTTTCTGTGCTCAATCAACTCTCTGACCCTCTGTTTCCTTCATGTGTGTACCTGCACCTGCCCACACTAGCACCAACTGTGCACCTGTATCTTAAAGGCCCCTTTGTTGTGCATCTACAGTGGCCTAAATATTCAACTTATAGCGCCAACAGAACAGGCTAACTACTTTTTCGGGTTAGAGATAGTATGCTTATGTAGTCTTCAGCAACATTTTAGAAAGTTTGAAAATTCTGAAGCTGTCAGCTCATGCAAACACATCTAAATTTGGTACTGTGAAGAGTGACGTCCATATCTTGAGTTTGGTGGGAAAATGGATCACATGGCCTTATTGTGCTACTCGACTTGCAAGTCTATGGGTTTAAAGCTGGTCGGTATTTAAGTCAGCAGGCCATATGTTTATTTATCTCTTGGCTATGGAAGATATAATTGATCAATGATAAGCAGTTCTTAGCAAGGAGCAGATGAATCACATCATATTACGCTCTTACTCTCTTTAAGTGCAGTTCTTGGACACAGTACAGCCCACCATAAATACTCATATACCTCTATAATGTTTCCCTTGTAAGGCCTTGAAATGCAGTTTTCAAAATAATCAGGACGCATGAGGAAAAATTTGGCAATGGCAAATGGTTGCATTCTCATACCTCTGTATGAGAACCATTATAAAGATTTGGCCTATTTTTGTTGGAGTACTGGTCAGTAGATTTATCTAAAATGTATCATAATCCAGTCTAATATTTTATATAAAAAATGATCGGTATCCCCAAATTATCTTATATATGTCTAATTTATTTTTAAAATTTCTATTAAAGTCTTATCTAGTTAAGTATTTATTTAACATGTTTTATTTATTTCAGCATGTATTTATTGACAAAGACTGTAATATTTTTTGAAGAAGTACAGTGCAATTTCTGCATATGACACTTTTTTTTTATCATGAGTTGACTAAGCTCCATTTTGTGACCGCACTGCTCTCATTCCCCCAACATGACGAAATGCATTTGGGGAACAGGTTAGAAGTGAATGCTGGGATAGCTGCTATAACATGTAGATTACTTGAATTTTACTTTTTAGATGTTACCTAGTTTTGGTTAAGAAAAAAGTTTTTTTCAGGTTGAGAAAAATTATCATTATTGCCCAGAATCCTACATGAGTGTTTGTACAGTGGTCAGTTTTAGAAAATGGAAGGTTTAGAAGTTTGTTAGAACAAATGAAATGTACAGTACTGATGGAATTTTATATACTCACCCCAGAGAGTGATGAGATATGATTTGTGCCTCTTGCATCATCTACTCCGCTTTTGTTTTACAATTTTCATCATCCACTTTCAGTACCACCCTTTCTCTTTGTGTGTATTCATTCTTGTGCACAGGCAAAATCAGTTTTAATTAGTTTTTAGATAGTTTTCATATTGCACATGCCCAACATATGACTAGGTTTTGAGATTTATAAGCATATTTACTGTAGATGGTGTAAATTATTTTTTCCTCAACTGATTTTATTTGCAAATGAACAAAACAAATCTACTTATTCACACCCAGAAACATTTTTCATTTCAGGGACAAGTTTCCATCATGGACTCCAAAAATAAGCCCTTCTATTGTTCCAAACATCATTTTGGTCCTATTTTTTGTGATTAAAATCATATAAAATATGTGAGGAGCTGATATATGGCAACACGATACGTTTCAAACACCATTTTTTGGTTTTAAATTTGTCTCAGGACGGATTGTTGTGCTTATTTCCAATAGGCAAACCCCCTCAAAAACAGGAAACCATCTGAGCTGAGATCGCTGATAGTTGTTCAACTTCAGCCGAACTACATTTTATGGAATATGAAACAACATTTTTGAGTTATATAATACCAGCAGCTGTGATTTAGACACTTTTTGTGACAAAGCATTTGCTAGCAGGTGGAGTCCTGTGGGCCATACCTTGACTTGGGCAGTTACTGGAGCAGAGCTCATGCTTTTCAGATGGCTTATAATGTGAGATGATTGGATGATCCTGCAAATTGCCTAACTAACACAAGCCTTTCACCCATACTTGCATGTTCAGTGCATAGATCAATTGTTTGCAAATCACCCGAGGTTCCTCCAGGGCAGCACGATTCAGGCACATGTGTATGACTGAGGCCAGCCAACCTACAGCACATGCTCAGTACAGCAAGAATCTGAAACCCTGAACAAACCTCTACTGAAAGCCTTGATATGTTTATGAATTCTACACTTCTAATTCCAAAAAATCAGTTACTAATATGGGTGTTTAGGATGGTATTCTGTTTCTGTGAGTAAAAGCAGAAAGCATATCCCTGATATGATTCTCAAACCCTGAAGGTTCTCTGTTCATGCACCTTTTCCTTTTTCCATAATACTGTATGTCAATCAGCTTCACTTTACTTTCATGACCAGTTCAGAGTAAATATAAACAATGCCACTACCTTTATAAACAAGTGCATATGTTAATAGTAATAGCAGGTGTGTCAATAAAATTATTTAAAAAAATATATAGTTAAACTAATCACTTTCAGTTTTAGTACATACTGTACAAGCAAATGTAAATTGTCTTAGTTTTTGTCTGTGCACCTTGTAGAAAGTAATGCAGAGAGCTGGATTGTACATGTTATAGCCTGTCCTATACCATTTCTACTAGCAATTTCCATAAAACGTCGCATTATCATGTTTCCAAGCTAAAAACATTGCATCGATTTTACCACCTCCCAAAGTATAAGAATGAATCCGTTCTCATAATCGACACCAAATATATGTGTGCTTCCATTCGCCTCTTATGCACAGACTCCATTCATGAGCATTCTTTTTCTGTCGTTTTCGCAGTTTTACTTGCCTTGTATATAAACATGATTGCTGTGAATGGTGTAATATGCAGTTGTAACCGGTTTGTACCATCTTCAGTGGGCAGTAGTTCAGTGTCTCTTTCTGAGTGTTGGAATTATGAGTCAAATGTTTGTGTACACTTAACACATTGTCAGATATGAAATAAATGTGGAACTTATGCAACACTACGAATTACTTTGTCTTTTGTGTGTGTTTATTGATTTTTGAGCCACTGTTTTATGCATGAGAAAATAGGAAACCTTGTTGAATAAGTGGTGCAGTGGTCCAATTCACACTGCACAGACAAACACCGCCGACAAGCAAGTTGGCTGTTGGATTTGGAATTTTCTGAAAAATAAACAGTTTAAACACTGATCCAACCAAAACATGTTTGTTAGCGTTTGTCTATGAGGTGTGAATTTGCCTTATGACGTCAGAACCCAGAAGACTAATTCGTCGCTGGTTCCTTTGAGATTTTCCTATGAGGTTTTAAGGGTTTTTCAATTTATGAAGCCTGTGGTAAACATCATACTTTGACATTTTGTACAACAAAAATGACTCACACCCATAGAGAAAATTCGAAATTTATAGCAGTTCTGTTCTACTGACAGAACAATTTTTGATAAGTAGCTAGATAAACCAGCTTGGGGTGTGAGTGTGTATGCAGTGTACGCTGTAGAACAAAGTGTCGTCAAGTTATGTTAATCCACAGGCTCTATTTTTACTAAAATCTTGAAGCTAGGAACCAGCCACGAATTAGACTTCTGGGTTCTGACGTCATACCTGCACCACTCTGATATAATTTAAGGATACTACATGGAAGCCTGTTGAGATATAAACTCGTAATTGTGAGAATGAAGTCATAATTGCGAGCTATAAACTCAAAATTAAGATAATTTTTTTTAACTTGTCGCAATTACCCTTTATATATATATATATGTTCTGTGGCAGAAAGATGAAATTAATGAAGGTCAATGTCATAAAGAATGACAAGTCTGATTCAACGCTGGCATTACTGATTGATTTCGAGAAGAAAACAATTTACTATTAACTAGCCACTCTACTGTAGATGCCTGGTCTGAATTACAAATACCATAACAACACCTTTTACCAGAATTTGCCATACAAAAAGTTTGGATACTGGAAACAAGGCTTCTCAGCACAGTGATTTGATTGGCTATAATAGCCTGTCAGTCATTTATCTTTTGTAAGGTCAGTTCTCATTGTGACATTTTCTTTTAAATCTCATTTGCAAATGGATCACTCAACTAGGCTACAAGACCTAACTTCTTTTACAGCTCTTATTTATTTTCCTTTATCCCATGAAATCCCGTCTAATGTCCACCTAAATCCCTTAATCCTTTAATTCCACCAATGTTCAAGTTACAGGCTTAATTGCTCAGGCTAGTAGTATCTATTTTCAAAAAAAAAAGAGAGAAAAAAAGTAGGCCTAGTATCTATTTTCATGCTGCTACTACAATTTTTTAGCTATCTATTCCATAAGTACCAGTTATTCTTTAGGTATTAGTGTTTATTCGGTAGCCTACTATGTTTTTTAAAGAAACTTAAATGTTAAAACGGTTTGCCATTCTGTCTTGCCTCAAATCTAATGAACAAAATGTTAACGTTACTACGACGAAGGCTTATAGTTCATGAATATTAATAACGTGACGTGCCACGAACAATAAGGCTTGGCTTATTATTATTACTACTAGCTACTACTACTAACGTTAGCCTACACGACGGGACGCCCTTTAATGTTTACCATGTAACGTTAACGTCAGCACGATCTGATTAATATTTCATGAACCAGCCTTCGCTGTAGTAGAGAAACAGCACCCGTCTAGAGAGGAGTGCGTTTCCGGTTCAAAGTACAACGTGCTTCGATCTGCCGTATCACCAGTTTAACCGTGAATCATTGACAGGAGTCAGGAGGACATACGCTTAAGAATAAAAGGTCAGTAAATGCTATATAATTAAATAGGTTCATCGGGTTTATCAGTTTATCTCAGCGACGGTTCTTGTAAAGCGACTATAAAGGCAGTTTAAGTAGCACTGTCATGCTAGACAACATACGTTACAGTAATGTGACTCGACCAGCAGTCAATCATCTACACAGTATGAATCAAAGTGCAATAAATGACTTGCGCGATTTTATTGCGACATTGTGTTGCATGAAACTTAATTTAGATTAAATGTCAACCTTGTATTTACAACCATGGCTTGTCCAAGAAAAAAAAAAACTTTATGTGATGTGATGTGTGATCCAACAAGCCTTGTTATGGCATGACCCGTATTACTGTTTTTGTCGTTAGTGGTCATACTTTTAAAGCAGGTTTTTATTGCCATGCATGTTTAGACTGATGTACAGTATTTTGTCCTTTTATCTACCAATGTAATCCAGATAATGGCTGAGAAGATTGATACCCCTGTCATCCTGGATCATAATTTATGGGGAACCTTAACACATCATTGTACATCTGACCTGGATCATCATGGTGTGGCTGATGGGCCAGACAGGTAATGAATATGCCAATATTAGTCCTAGACTGGACATGAAGTCATTCGCATTCGATACGCCACATGCTCCAGAATGTAGTTTGTAAAACAGATTTGTCTGCTGCAGAATATACATGGATTACAACGCCACCACACCAGTCGATCCAGAGGTGATCAAGGTTGTTACTGATGCTTTAACTGATGCATGGGGAAATCCCAGCAGTAACTACCTACCAGGTATGAGGCTCTCAAAGATAGATGTATGGCAGACCTCGACCACTGACATATCACATTTAAAGGGATAGTCCTCCACCCACAAATTAAAATTATGTCATCATTTACTCACACTCACATGTTTCTAAACCTCTGTGGATTTCCATTTACTTCCATTATATGGGCAAAAACACTGATACATTTCTCGAAAGAAAGAAAGTCCAACGGGTTTGGAATGAAATGAGGGTTTGTAAATGATGACAGAATTGTCATTTTTGGCGGAGAACTATCCCTTAAACACATGCTCATATAGTTTTCCACCAATAGGTCTGAATGCCAGAGACATCATTTACCATTCCAGAGACACCATTGCAAGGATGGTTGGTGGAAAAGCAGCAGACATTATTTTTACTTCAGGAGGAACTGAGGTGAGGGTTTTAAGAGCACAGTTCAAACAGAATTTAGCAAATGTTCTTCTTTCCTTCTTTTTGCTAGCACAATATTGAAGGCCTGTTCAAGCTGTTTCATATGGGTAATTCACATTTCATGAAATCAATAATTATAGTGAGTAAAAATTCTTTTTAATGAATCTTTTTTTCTGCAATTTCACTTCTGTTGTAGCTCTGTTCTAGACCCGATACAGGTGCGGTCACATTTACAGTTGCATGGCGAAATTTCGTAGGCAAAGTCCAGTCATTTCAATATGAATCTCCGTGATCGGGAGTCTCACGTGAGCATCAATTTTATTAATGTGACTGCACCTTTGATATCGTTGGTTCCTTTATAATAAATAACTTGTGTTGTCACTCATTTGTAGTTGTACTTGATTAATGCATGTAATGTATTAATTTAGTACAGTAATTGCCTGTTCACACCAAAACGAATATTATCTACATTATCTATTATAGACCAACACAAACATTTGCATGCCATCAGTGGGACAAGTGACAAGGAGAGGTGTTCTAATTTACTTCCATCGCCCGGGAATGGCTTTAATGTCCACATCCGGACTCATGTGTCGTGTCCGCACAGCTTTCAAGGTATACTCAACCGCGGATGGTCGAGTTCGACACATGCGCAGAACAATTGCGTATTCCCACCTAGTGGACTCCTCTGTCTCGTCTGTCTTTCTTGCGCATGCGCCGTTGTATGCGCACAGTTCGCGCGGTCTCAAAAATGGGCTATATGCACGCATAACTTCCGCGTTTGATGCAAGGATGCTCATGCGTTTCCGGTTGGGGAGATTTAAAGCGGAGGAAAACCGAGGAAAACGGGATTATGGCAGAGTCTTCAAAATTTACTGTCCTCTCGTCTTTGAAACGAAACTTTAATACGTTTAGATGTAATTTTATATATAATTATGTTTATTTAATATAATAAACAAAGAAGCATAAACAAAATGAGGGGTGTCTGTTTTGTCTGTTTTTGTGACTAACGTTTCTTTAGTATAGCAATAGAGTATAAAAACCAATATAAATTCTCGGTATAGCATTGGACTCTACGATCGGCGGAAGTAATCCAGCATCCTTAGACCTTCACCGGAAATATCGCAGTGCATAGAGCCCATTGGGCTGCACTCGGACGGGGTGTACGGACGTCCCCGAACCCTCCTGATGATGAAAATGACGTCACGCGGACACTGCGTGGACGGCAGAAGTATACTTTGGGCAAAAAAAAAAAAAAAAAAGTATACTTTTGCCTTAAAGGATTAGTTCACTTTAAAATGAAAATTAGCCCATGATTTACTCATCTTCAAGCCATCTTAGAAGAATATGACTTTCTTCTTTCAGACGAATACAATCAGAGTTATATTAAAAAAATATCCTGGCTCTTCCAAGCTTTATAATGGCAGTGATTGCAACCAACAGATTGAAGCTCAAAAATCTGCGTCCATCTGTCATAAACAACTTCACGCAGCTCCGGGGGGTTCATAAAGGCCTTCTGAAGCAAAACGATGAGTTTGTGTAAGAAAAATATTAATATTTAACACGTAACAAAGTGAAATTCTAGCTTCTGACCAAACGTCCATACGCAGTCTACTTGCCCCTATAGTGATGGGCGGATCGATCCTGAAGTATCGATACTTCGATACTGACGTGGTATCGAAAAGGATCGATCCTCAGTCCTCACATAAAAATATCGATCCAAATGTGTATTTTTTTTACCAGTAATTTTGTATTAATTTAGCACGCAATTCACTCAGTGCGTAAAATAAGCTTCTAAGTGGAAAAATAAGCGAATGTTAGCGGGTAATTGTGTAGGATAGAACCTTTTCTCCTAGTCATCTGTACACAAGACGAAACCAATCAATCACAGAGAGCGTTCGATGCTGGTGCTTCGCTGAGCTCACAGGCCCAGTGCGTTTGGGAAACGAAGCCTTGCTTAGATGACAGAGAAATAATCGGGAGTTATTTCGCAATAAACAAACCAAAACTGTACATAACGGTTTAAAATGTTGATGTCAGTAAGGTCTTTTTTATGAAATTAATATTTTTATTCAACAAGGATCGATGCATTAAATTGATCAAAAGCGACAGTCAAGGGTTTTACACTGTTAAAAAAAATCTACTTCATATAAATGCTGTTCTTTCAACTTTGTTCATCAAATAATTCTGCATAAAATGTATCATGGTTTCCAACAAAATATGAAACTGTTTTCAACATTGATAATAATAAGAAATGTTTCCTGAGCAGCAAATCAGCATATTAAAATGAATTATCATCATGACTGGAGTAATGATGCCGAAAATTCACCTTTGATCACATGAATAAATTACAGTTTACTATGGCATAGAAAACAGATAGCCTATGTTAAATTGTTAAATTGTAATATTCCAGTTTTTACTAAGAGAAATAAAAATCTTACAGACCCCAAACTTTTGAACAGTAGGCTAGTACTAGTAGGCTAGTACTATAATTAGGGTAGTTTTGTAAAAGTCACTGACTAATTAAAGGGGAGTTGAAAGCACAAATCACAAAATATTTAGGCCTAGTAGTCATGAAAAAGTGTTCAGATTTAGGATATTATAATGCATTCACCTCATAAATCATGACACACAGGAAAGTGCATACAAGTTCAAATGCATGCTTTTAAAATAAAAAGGTATCGGTATCGATATCGGCGATACTGGCCCTGTATTTACTTGGTATCGGATCGATACAGAAATTTGCAGTATCGCCCATCACTAGCCCCTAATGCGCAACTTACAAAACTTATGACGTCAGATGTAGATTAGTGCGTCATGGCGTAGCGTAAATATCTTAAGTGGAATCCTTATGTTCGTTTGGCCGGAAGCTAGTTATTTTACTTTATAAAGTTTTAAATATTAATATTTTTCTTACACAAACTCACCATTTTGCTTCAGAAGGCCTTTATTAACCCACAGGAGCCGTTTGGAGTTCGTTTACGGTGGATGAATGCACATTTTTTTTAGCTTCAATCTGTTGGTTGCAATCCACTGCATTATAAAAAATATTTTTTAATATAACTCCGATTGTATTCGTGTGAATGAAGAAAGTCATATACACCTAGGATGGCTTGAGGGTGAGTAAATCATGGGCTAATTTTTATTTGAAAGTGAACTACTCATTTAACCTTTTAATAACAGAGGAAGAATCTGGAATCGGCTCTAGTCTCTGTACTCCTTTTTTTTTTTTAACTGTACTCTGTATTTGGTGTTGATTCTTTTTCTGCTGACAAATCACATGAAAATCCGGACCGAACATTCGTGTTGGTGTGAACAAGCCTTTACAATTGAAACACTATCCGTAACGCTTCTTGTAGTAGTCCTAATGATGCTTGGCGCTTGTGTTGAGAGGTGCGTTGAATACTTGAAAAAAATTCAGTTATTCAGAAGAAATGATTCCACTTTATCTTTATTTAGCTCTCTTTTTCTCCTGGACTTTCAGGCCAATAATCTGGTATTTCACACAGCTGTGGAGCACTTCAGGAAGAGCAAGACTTCTGCAGAGGGAGGCATGAACAGCCAGCAGCTGAATGGAAGAGGCTCCTTACCTCATATTATCATCTCTAATGTGGAGCATGACTCCATCAAACTCACAGCTAAACACTTGCTAAAAGAGGGCAAAGCAGGTTAGTTAGCAGGACTGGACTTTTGGTCTAAAACTTCAAATGGAGACTTCGTTCTCTAAAGGTTTAGCTTGAGGAAGTGGACATTACCACAATGTACTACTATAACTGAGAATATTGCATCCAAAATACGTCTATTGCTATCTGTATTAAAATATGAATATGAATGAACGCAAGATATTTGTGCTCTGATTGGACCTTATTGGATTCTCGTTGTAGATGTCACATTTGTGCCCGTTTCCAAGGTGACGGCACGGGTAGAGGTTGAGGATGTCATTGCAGCGATTCGTCCCACCACTTGCTTAGTGTCGATCATGCTGGCCAATAATGAGACAGGCATCATTATGGTGAGCGTGTTGCCCTGACAGCAGTGTGTCAAACTATTTCATAGTTAAACAATATAACGTGGCTTTGTTTTGGCCATTGGGACAAGGCTTTATTGTGAGTGTGAAGTTTTTTATAAACATTATGTTAAAGAGTAACTTACATTGTAGATGTAGTATGGCCAGTTAAGTTTTGCTGTGCTAATGAAAATAATACTGTAGTTTTTTTTCTTTTCTGCCATGATTTAGCATAAGCACTCAGAGTAACTGATGAAATTCTCCCTTCAACAGCCAATTAAGGATATTTGTCAGAGGGTGAAGGATGTAAACAAACAGAGGGCTACATCAGCTCCCAGAATCCTCCTGCACACTGATGCAGCCCAGGCTATCGGAAAGATACGAGTGGATGCACATGAGCTAGGAGTAGACTACATTACCATTGTAGGACACAAGGTAAGTAACAAGAGACGCTGTTGATATCTCATCTCTCTCTAAGCGAAGAAAATTAGAGATCACAATCCTGTTGATGGTGTGTTCCAGTTTTATGGCCCTCGAATTGGTGCTTTGTTCGCGAATGATCCTGGAACCACAGCCCCTGTTTACCCTCTGCTTTTTGGAGGAGGACAAGAGCGCAACTTCAGGCCAGGGTATGACATGGTTTATTGTGGGATGTGGTTTCATGTATGGGTGATGAATTATTGAACGGAATTAAAATAAGTATGTTACCAACTCTGAAATCAATACTGTGGTTATCTCTTTATTTCTCAGAACTGAGAACACAGCAATGATAGCAGGCCTGGGAAAGGTAAAACCCACTATATATATATATATATATATATATATATATATATATATATCATATCCTTATTCATTCATTCATTTATTAATTCATTCATTCATCAATTTATTATTTATTTCCAGTACTTGGTTGATTGTGTTTGTACATGTAACATATTTAACTCATTGTATTTATTTATGTATTCATTTATTTTATTTGTTTATTTTCAGTATAAAGTTTGCTGTGTGTACATGTGAAAAAAAAAAATTAAATCTTTTTTTTTTTTTTTGGGTAAAGGCTGCCGAATTGGTAAGCTTAAATCTAGTAGAGTATGAAGCCCATTTCCTGGATATCCGATGTTATCTAGAGCAGAAGCTGCTTGTAAGTCTTATTTCTGCTTTATAGATGACTGGTACAAATATTTTAGTGGATATTACTTTAGTATAAGTATTAGTGCTTTCAAATCAATTAATCGCATCTGACATAACAGTTTGTGTGTGTGTGTATACAGTACAGGTCAAAAGTTTGGAAAGATTACTATTTTTAACATTTTTGAAAGAAGTCTCTTATGCTCATCAAGGCTGCATTTATTTGATCAAAAATACAGAAAAAACAGTAATAGTGAAATCGTATTACAATTTAAAATAATGGTTTTCTATTATTTATTAAAACAAGATAAATGAGGATGAGATTAAAAATGTAATCTATTGACAGCTCTATGTATACGTGCACGCATATATTTACAAACTTTTATGTTAGATGTGATTAATTGCAATTAATTGATTTGACAGCACTGATGAATCGCATCAAACATAAACGTTTATATATACATATTATTGGTGAGTGTATATACAGTCAAACCTAAATTTATTCAGACACTTTCAACATTTCTCACATTATCACAGTTTATTCGCTATAGTTTCGAAAATGGTTATACAATATGACAAGAGCTCAGAGTTATCAAATCAGTTGATATTTCACTAGTTTTGGCCATCCTTCTGTTAGACTGTCTCACAAATGAATTAGGTTGAATAGTCTGTGGTGTAAAAAGGTCGCATTAGCAATGAAAGAAAAAACACTTCAGCAAAACATAATAATAATAATTTGTTACATTCATATAGCGCTTTTCTAGGTACTCAAATACACTGAACAAAATTATAAGCGCAACACTTTTGTTTTTGCCCCCATTTTCCGTGGGGTTCCGAAGTGCAACACATCTCCTTCGCATAGAGTTTATCAGGTTGTTGATTGTGGCCTGTGGACTGTTGGTCCACTCCTCTTCAATGAGTGTGCAAAGTTGCTGGATATTGGCAGGACCTGGAACACACTGTCGTATACGCCGATCCAGAGCATCCCAAACATGCTCAATGGGTGACATGTCCGGTGAGTATGCAGGCCATGCAAGAACTGTGATGTTTTCAGCTTCCAGGAATTGTGTACAGATCCTTGCAACGTGGGTCCGTGCATTATCATGCTGCAACATGAGGTGATGGTCGTGGATGAATGGCACAACAATGGGCCTCAGGATCTCGTCACGGTATCTCTGTGCATTCAAAATGCCATCAATAAAATGCACCTGTGTTCGTTGTCCATAGCATATGCCTGCCCATACCCTAACCCCACCGCCACCATGGACCACTTGATCCACAACGTTGACATCAGCAAACCACTCACCCACACAACGCCATACACGCTGTCTGCCATCTGCCCTGTACAGTGAAAACTGTGATTCATCCGTGAAGAGAACACCTCTCCAAAGTGCCGGACGCCATTGAATGTGAGCATTTGCCCACTCAAGTCGGTTACGACGACGAACTGCAGTTAGGTCGAGACCCAGATGAGGACGACGAGCATGCAGATGAGCTTCCCTGAGATGGTTTCTGACCGTTTGTGCTGAAATTCTTTGGTTGTGCAAAGTGCTTGTTGCAGCAGCTGTCCTGGTGGCTGGTCTCAGATGATCTTGGAGGTGAAGATGCTGGATGTGGAGGTCCTGGGCTGGTGTGGTTACACGTGGTCTGCGGTTGTGAGGCTGGTTGGATGTACTGCCAAATTCTCTGAAACGCCTTTGGAGACGGCTTATGGTAGAGAAATGAACATTCAATTCACGGGCAACAGCTCTGGTGGACATTCCTGCAGTCAGCATGCCAATTGCACGCTCCCTCAAAACTTGCGACATCTGTGGCATTGTGCTGTGTGATAAAACCGCACATTTTAGAGTAGCCTTTTATTGTGGCCAGCCTAAGGCACACCTGTGCAATAATCATGCTGTCTAATCAGCATCTTGATATGCCACACCTGTGAGGTGGATGGATTATCTCGGCAAAGGATAAGTGCTCACTAACACAGATTTGTGAACAATATTTGAGAGAAATAGGCCTTTTGTGTACATAGAAAAAGTCTTAGATCTTCGAGTTCAGCTCATTAAAAATGGGGGCAAAAACTAGAAGGGGGGAATCTCCTCAACCACCACCACCAATGTGCAGCATCCACCTGGATGATGCGACGGCAGCCATATTGCGCCAGAATGCCCACCACACACCAGCTTATTGGTGGAGAGGAGACAGAGTGATGAAGCCATATGAGGATGATTAGGAGGCCATGATCGGAAGAGGCCAATGGGCAAATTTGGCAAGGATGCCGGGTTAAACCCCTACTCTTTTTCCGAAGGACATCCTGGGATTTTTAATGACCAAAGAAAGTCAGGACCTCGGTTTAACGTCTCATCCGAAGGACGGTGTTCTTTGACAATATAGTGTCCCCATCACTTTACTGGGGCGTTAGGACCCACACAGACCACAGGGTGAGCACCCCCTGCTGGCCTCACTAAGACCTCCTCTGGTAGCAACCTAGTTTTCCCTAGGAGGTCTCATATCCAGGTACTGACCATGCTCAACCCTGCTTAGCTTCAGTGGGCAACCAGTCCAAAAACCAAAAACATGGCCAGGTTAAAGTGTCTGAATAATTTGTGGTCCCAAATTCTTATACATTTTACTGGTAGTCCACTGTATGAAGAATTTTTCGGTATAATATGTCACATTTACTTTTTTTCTATCCTCACTTACATAAATGAACTATAGTGTCCTGCACCCACTAGTAAATAAAATCAAAAATGATATCTGGTGTCTGAATAATTTTTGGTTTGACTGTATATACAGTATGTAGATATATTCAGGTATATATATATATATATATATATATTATATTTCATTTATTTTTTCTTATTTTTATTGTATTCAAATTTTTCAGGCTGTCTTTGGAAAAGATAAGATTCACTTTAACAGCCATTTGTCTGGATCAGGCATTTTGCCCAACACATGCAATGTTTCCATTCTGGGAAGAGGACTTCAAGGTGTGTAGATGGCCATTTTCTAGCCTCATAATTTGTCTTTCACAGTACATAATTATATATGATTATACCTCCTGATATGTATAGGTTCAAAATGTCACCTACATTTATAGTGCACATGTACATTAAACATTCATAAAGATTCATCACAGACATGATATATTCAAGTTTGATTAACTGACATGCAATTACAGTGGCTCCATTTTCCATAACATCAGTGATGTTTTTTTTTTCACATGTGTATTGGTCAGAAGTAGGTCAGGTCTTGACCCTGCAGATTTGTAAAACACAAGAGCTCTTGTGAATAATTGATAAGATTCTTCCCCCCTGCTGTAGGGCGTAGAGTGCTGTCCACCTGTAGGAGGTTGTTGGCCAGTGTGGGTGCTGCCTGCCACTCAGACAGAGGAGACCAGTAAGTCATCTGTACTTACAATGAAAATGTTTGGGGTCAATATCAGTTGATTTTTGTATAAGGACAGTGTTTTCTCCAGTTTTGTCAAACATAAAAATGTTTATGGATGTGCTCTTAAATCCTAAAATAAAGCTTAACCATTTAAAATAATATATTTTAAATTGTATATTACAAGATATAACCAACGATACAAATGTTTAAACATGGTTTTCAGCTTCTTATGGTTAACAAGCTCACCTCTTAAGGCCTGTTTACACTAAGAACAATAACTATAATGATAACTATATTAGTGTCCACATCATCGGCGATAATGTGGTTTATTCCAAACACTCTTCATGTAAGTTCTGTGAACATAATTTCAGCACACAACTATCCTGCAAGTCAGATGGTTTTTCATTGGCTTTTAATGTATTTATCATTCATCAGCTGGAAGAAAGTAGTACTGAAAGTGAATTCGACATCTTTTCTCTTTGCCGTTATCATTGTAATTATGGTGTGGACTTCACCTTAGAGTTGGAGTGATTTTTCAAACTTTATGGTTATATTATTGTTTTATTTATCGTTCTTGGTGTGGACGGTGTTTAATCTGGTAGGCTAGCATGTCCTACACATTACTACATATACAGTATAAAGCAAACCTTCAAAGCGAATTTCATGCTTTCATTGTTAAATATTTTCTTTAAAAAAGTATATTGATGGCTCAAAGGGTTCATGTTTAAATGTTTAAGTGATTAGAGCGCACAAAGACAATGGTTCACTAGAACGTGGAAAGTGAAGTATATCTGGGCCTTTAGTCTGAATAAACCTTGATGTGTTCATACGTTTCATAAGATTTAAAAAAAATCTTTCGCTTAATCCTTTTTATGGAAATTTTGTTGTGTTCTCAATTCCTTAGACCTTCCCATATTCTTCTAAGCTGTGGGATTCCGTATGATGTGGCTACCAACGCTCTGAGGATTAGTGTGGGTAGAAGTACCTCCCGTGAAGATGTGGACATTGTCGTGGAGGATCTGAGAGACACTGTAGAGCAACTGGAGCGAATGAACTAGCACCATTTGTTCCCTGAGGTGTGGATGTTGCACAATGGTTTATTTAGTCTACAGCTATGTGGCTTTGCACTAATTCGATAGTGTCATAAGTATAGGATTCAGGTTTTAGGGTCTTCAGGTTGCACTATATGGATCTACAAACTATTTATTTAACGGAATATTATATTTGATCTAAATCTTATTTGGTTAAAGCTATGGTATACGATTTTGAAAATCAGTCGAGAAAGCCTGAATTTTTTAAAAACGCATCCCGCCCCTCCACACACACCCCTCCCCTCTGTGCTACCTGATCCCTCCCACCGGGAAACGAACTGAACTACGTCACTCAGTCAAGCTGTGATCACCGGTAGTAAACATCGGAACTGAGATGTAATGTCAGTTCATGTAATGTTCAATCTAATGACCTCGCTAATGACACATCATATGTAAAATTGCCTTTAGACACTTGAACTTAGTTGCTTCATCAACAATTCAATGTCACGTTTGAGTTCACGTCAACGCAAGATTAGCAACACATGAAATGTTCTAAACTCTCCACCACCATTAGTATAATCCTACTAGTATTGCTAAGGTTTTCAGTAATTGTTATTGCAGCACACAGCGCATCTTGTTCAAATTTCGATCGGCTCGAACAGAAACCCGCTAGGCCTACTGAAATATATTCAAGGACTTCAAGAAATATAATTACTTTGACCCGTGATAGGCGATGCTAAACGGCTAACATTCCAATGCCGACCGACAGCATGAGCAAGTTGTCAAACTGATAAAAAGCTATTTATGTAACACGTCACACCATAAAAGTATAAATAAATGTTTACCTGCTCAACAAAAAGTCAGCCGTGTCAGCGTCGGTCTTCAGTCCCAGATCTTCCTGAAGCTTCCTCTAACGGTCAATGGTGGACCGTATATTTATCCTACTCAAAGTTCGGCGTTCTTCACATTTTTTTTTTATCTCTGCTCGTTCCTCTAATGACTTTCTCTTTCGTCCTAACTTTACTGTAGGGGCAAGCAGGGGACGCTTGCTGCTGTCTTTTTTTTTTTTTTTTTTTTTTTTTTCATTGCTGATATGCTACTTAGCTAGCTACCATAGACTGTCAGCTGCTTAGCGCAATTTCATGTCGCAGGAGGGGGGCGGGTGCGGTGGAGACGCGAGCGCCAGGCGGAGTTTCAAGTGGAGCTGGTGATTGGATGAGAGCAGTTGACCAATGTAAGCTGTCCGGCCGGACAGCTTACATGGACAGCTTACATTGGTCAACTTCTCTGCGGCTGTACAGCCAATAGAGTGAATGGATTTTTTTCATTCTTTTTTCTATTCCTATTGTTAGGATTGTACTATATAACCATAACCAGCATCTAAACGAGGATATTAATAATGAACAATCTTTGAAATCGTATACCCTAGCTTTAAAACATTTGATATATGGAACTGCAGGGAATTTACTGTAGCTGAGAAATAGTTTTTAAACTTTATTTTTAGTTTTTAAAGCTTGTATATTGGGGTGTGCTATATGTATCTTCTACGATAATATATTGTAATTGTTATTTTAGCAATGTGGGAGCTGACATTGAGTATGTCACTCACTTTGCATAAACCAAACAAAAGCACAACTTGAGTCCACACTATTCACTGCTTGTTGTAGCCTATTAGAATGCAGTTACAATGTCCCCAATATTCAAAATATGGGGTAAAAAAAAATTTTTTTTGTCTTTTATATTTATGATATAGTTAAGCAATATCACACAAACAAGTTTTTTTTTATTTTTTTTTTAGAATATCCGCACAATTGCAAGTGGGATATTTAATTTTTTATACAAGATAAATAACGAAACAAGAAGTTTGTATTAAGTATGTTACATGTTAGAAACTATATTGTATTTTTTGCCAACGAATAGTTCCAAACCATCTTAAGTATTTGGTTTAGGTATTTAGGGGTCAGTCTAATATTATATTGTGATGTTTACACTGTGATGTTTTTTTTTTTTTTTTTACGGTTTCATAATTTGACTGATGTGTAAAAAGATAGATGTACAAAATAGTTCTAATTATGTTGTAGATGTTCATACCCTATTTTTCAGGGAGAGACAAAGACCTGTTCATTGTAACTTGGCGGCTGCACTTAGTTACTTTGGAATGTGACGGAGCGTGCACGTTCAGAATGAGACGAGATATCTGTTACCAGTGCAACAAAGCTGCAACAGCATTATTAAATGAGCTAAATGGACTCTCTTTAAACGTCTCAGTGCTGATCTGATCTAACCTGACACTGAATCATTAAAGTTCATATGCTCTAACCAAACTGCCCCATTCTAATCCCTTGTTGTCTTTCCAGACACACTCTTGGCCATTCAGACAGAAATGAATTTTTAACACGTGAAAGTGAGGCTCACTGTAATCTCTAATCACATGCATGCACACCAGTCACACACGTTTTAGTAGGTCTTCAGAGGCCAGTTCTCTCATTACTCTTGTGTCTGCTGCCAGAAGAGAGGGCAACCTTGAGCAGGTTGGTAAGCGAGCACAAAGGCAACGGCCGGGCCATGCAGAGCACCGGTGGATTGTGACGTCTTTCATTACCTTTACAGCTCACCGGGCCAGACCTGCTGCTCGCCTCCGCTCACCCAACCCCACCAGCTGGCAGACGTTTAGGTGTCGGCTTCCCCTGTGTGTGTGTGTGCATGTGTGCCGCGGGGGGTAGGTTGAGTTGCCCTAGACACCCTCCGAATCCAGTCATAGGCGGTCAGCGCAGGTGCAGAGAGGCAGGGTTGACATGGTGCTCCAAAAGGCCATCGCCGCAGCCCGCGAGGGAGACCTACGGGCCCTCAGGGAGCTCGCCGAAACTGGATGTCTAAACGACGCCATTGCGGATGCTCAGGGGGCGGGACTGGTGCACCATGCTGCACGCTGTGGTCAGCTGGACTGCCTTTGCTTTCTGGTGACAGAAGCTGGGCTGCCGGCTGACGCAAAGGCCCTAAATGGAGCCACACCTGTCCATGATGCCGCAGCTACAGGTCACACCCGGGAACTAAAGTGGCTTGTACAGGTTGCAAGATGCAATGTTAAGGTGAGTGGAGAGTGTAATCCTGTAGTGCGGACAGAGTTGGATCGAGGGTTGCTTTTTAAATGGGTGATTTTTATTTCTTCTGTAGGTCACAAAAGGTGATGTTAGGAAAATGTTCATGCTGTTCTTTTCCATGCAATCAAACTAGATTGTGTCCAGAGATTTTTAAGCTTCAAAAATGACAACAAAACACAATATAAGTAGTCCAAATATGACTTGTGTGCGATAATTCCAAGTTTTTAAATAGCCTGTATTGTACTATATTGTTATTTTTACACTAGCTCCACCCACCAGACAAAATTCCAAAAGAAACAAGACTGGTAGCTGGGACAGTGGCATGGAGAGTTAGAGCAGTGGATTTAGATCTTGACACAACTAACCCGAGTTCGAGTCTGACGACTTACTGTCCCATTCTTCTCCCTTTGCTCATTGCATATCAGAGACTAGGAAATAAAATGCCTACTGGGTATTTAATAGTGGGAATAATAAGGTCCCAATAAGGCAGCAACCATTTTTATTGTTATTAATATGCTCTGAATATGTTGTTGCTTACTGTATATTACTCTGAGATGCAAATGTATTCGCACAAAGTATAATAGGATATAGTGCAAAAAGCCTGATAGTCTTTTCCTCTCTGCTACTTTAAAATCTTTCACTTTCATGCGTATTCAAATATGAAGCATTAAGTTTCACCAATCCTGGTTTAATATGAATGATGCCAAAAAGCACCGGTTCTCATGTTTCTTCTGTTACTAATTGCATTGCACTAAATTTCAATATGCCCATATCACATAAATAAAAAGATTGTTAATTTTGGCCTGATTCTCACATCATCATATGGGTATATTTTCAGAATATGTGAATATTGCACACAATATTAGGATTTCTAAAGGATCATGTGACACTGAAGACTAAAGTAATTGCTTCTTAAAATTCAGCTTTGCCATCACATGAATAAATTCAATTTTAAAATATAGTAAATAGAAAACAGTTTTGTTTAAACAAATTGTAATAATTTTTCACAGGATTAGAGTGTACTGTATTTTGATCAATTAAATGCAACATTAGTGATCGCAAGAGACTTACCGGTAGTTGAAAAAATGTTACCCTCCCCAAAACTTTTGAATGTTATTGTTCCACAGAAGCCAACACAACACAGATTTAAAACAACTTGAGGGTGAGTGAAATAGTTTTCATTTTTGGGTGAACTATCCCTTTAATGAAATGCCTGACAGCACAGTTATGATATTTATCCATAGATGAGGTCAATAACGCCCATTCCTGCTAATGAAATACATCCCGGACTTGCCGTATTGTATGAACAACTTTGTGTGTGATGCAAACCACCAACCAAAAAATCCGAGAAATATAACTTTCACAGCGCATTGTGTGTTCACATGGAAAGCAAGAATATTATTGGTAAGCAATGGTCTGCTCCAAATATAGCACCTTACATAAGTAGTTCTCCCGGTTCAGGAACTGTAGAACGGTGTGAATGGTGTGATTACATCACTTTCCCTTGCTCTGTTTACTCTTTGCTCAGTAGTATTGCATGACCACTGTAATCATGACCAGATGGGTTAGAGGGGGCTCAATCTAACCGTTAATGCTATTTGTTTACCAGGGGAGAACATGGCCATACTGTTCCTCCGAGACACACACACACACACACCGCCTGTTCTCACGCTAATGCAAACCAGCGCTTTTAACATCGGCAACCTCTTGATCTAATTTATGGCCAGCTGTGTTGTATTAAAGTAGATGTTTTAAGTGCCTTGTTATCACGAACTAAAGTGATAACAATATTCCAGGTTGGTGGTCTTGCTTGGAGTTCATCAGAGTTTTTTTTAAGCCTGTACTTGCCACGGTGAGGTCAAAGTTGTACAGGGTTGAATTATTAATGAACATTTCCTTGGTCTGATTAAATAAAGATGGCTACACTAATTTGATCACATTGGTGGAATAGAGGAGTGATGTCCCCATGTGTCAGCAGCAGCAGATTTAGTCAAATGGATTTTATGATGACATCATGAGATGACCTCTATCAAACTGAATGTTCTTTCAGGTTATTATGAACTCAATGGTAGCATAGTTTTATATTATTTGTATTGTCACTTTTCACATTCAAAAATAATAGCATGTAATATTCATAATTTTTCCTTTAGTTTCCTCCTGCTTAGGCAAACTGTTAAATCTATCTGTAGTGTGGTAAGTTTAGGTTATCACAAACTGACGTAATCGTCAAATGAACTGAGGATAAAAATCTGGTTTAAAACATGCATGGCAAGGTTTTAGAAATGAACTCTTTGCAGAGAACTCTTGAACTCTTTTGTCTCTAAAAATGTCATGTGGTGTAACCAAGTAAAAAGTGATAAAAAAATTCTTTAGATTTTGAATACGCATCTTAATCATTAATATATCAAAATATTTTTAAAAAATTCAAAAGAAATAAAATTGACAATATTGTGAATTGTTAATTCATAAATATTACATTTGACCTCATAAAAAGGTTTTATGACTTATTGACGCAATCATGAGGTTCTGCATGGGTGCTTTCTATGATATCATATCCTGGATTTCTTTTCAAGAATGTAATTATTTTTCGTCTTAATGCTTTTTCTTCAATATGCTATCAGGACACGTGTCTCACCCTGACATGTTTTACATTATGCTGCTAAAAAAAGATCAAAATGAACACAAATTAACACCATAAAAGAGGCGTATAGAACTCATTGTATGTATACTGTAAATGGTATGTTTAATGTATTTTTATTTATTTTATATAAATTAATAGGGCAATGCATATATTATAAATACATATATAGTATAAACATCTGTTCAGAACAGTCATTGTAGGAAATGGAACTTTTGGTGTGCAACAAAGAAAGTAATTTAATAAAGAACTGTTGTTTATGACTATTCTTATTTGTTTGTTTGTATTCAGGATCAGGATTCTGGTGGGGCCACTCCGCTCCATCTCGCTGCTCGGTTCGGGAAGGTGGAAGCTGTCCACTGGCTGTTATCTCATGGGGATGGAGCAGAAGTAGAAACAAACTGCGGTGCTCTTCCTGCTCACTATGCTGCAGCAAAGGGTGACCTCACCTGTTTGAAGCTGATGATTGGTCAAGCTCCAGGGTACAGTGTTACAACTCAGACACGTACTAATGAAAGAGATAAATCTCATGTGGCAGAGGTGGATGAAAAGAAGCATGTGACAAATTGTTTTGGGTCACTAATCTTGTGGGTCACACGTCTTGAGTTATTTGAGTACAATGAGTGTATTTTTAAAAACAGATCCAATTACTTTTTGTAAGCACAGCTTAACATTTATCTGAAGTAGATAGACATTTTGGTTCAATATGGTGATGTGTTGTTTATTCATGTATTGACTGCACAGAGCCATCTACACGTTTCAAAGCTCAGCCACGTATAATTGGAACAGCATGTGCCAAAAAAGCTACTCAGTAATGTTTTCAACAGCTACCTTTTATAATTTCTTTATATGATTATGGCCTGGTTTCACAGACAGGGCTTAGATTAAGCCAGGATTAGGCCTTAGTTCAATTAGGACATTTAAGTAGCTTTTATAAACATGTTAAAACAGCTCAAATATGCATTTTAGTCTGCGACTAGGCTTAAAGGGATAGTTCACACAAAAATGAAAATTCTGTCATTAATTATTCACCCTCGTGTTTTTCCATACAAGTAGACTTTCGTTCATCTTCGGAACACAATTTTTTTATTTTTTTATTTTTTAAATCTGAGCGATTTCTGTCCCTCCATTGACAGCTATGCAACTACCACTTTGACTCTTCAAAAAGTTCATAAAGAGATCGTAAAACTAATCCATAGGAATTGAGCGGTTTAGTCCAAATTTTCTGAAGATACACTATCACTTTATATTATGAACAGATTGAATTTAGGCTTTTATTCACATCAGCGAACATAAACAGAAGCTCAACTGAACCTGCTTGACTTACGAGAACAAACCTCTTGCGGAAGCTTAAACGTGCTGCGTAACACTCAAGAATGAACCTCATTGGTTCTTGCGGAAAGCTGAAATTATGGCGGAAAATCAATGCCAATAATAACCGAGCGCACAACTGCTGGCATGCGCGGTAAATGACTTCCGCGAGAGGATAACAGATCTACACGTGAGGAAACGGGAACTCGCGAGCTCATTCAAAAACCGCGTGCCCGCATGACATCTCCTCTGCACACAATACAAGCCATCACACGCGCATGATCATTCCCCACGCTCTCGCGCTTGATCTGTTCTCGCCTGCTGCTTCTGCTCGCTCGAACAGTTTTATTTTTGACAGTCGAGGGGCAGGACTTACTGTTTTAATAACCTCGAATGTCATTGGTTACTTCCCCTTACGCGCCAACCCAGAACCCCATTTACATTTAATAGAAAACATAATGAACCACTTATATTACGTAAAAATGTATAAAAATGTGGGTTCATTTACAATGCTAATAACCATGGATATGCGTCATTGCAGTCTGTAAATATCTCTTAACAACACAATGCAATCACTAGTAAGACTTCCTGTTAATAAAGTATCTGGGAAGAATCTATTCTATATTAGCAATGCATTAAATCACATTACAAATTAATAAACCACAATAAATAAAACAAATTAAGTGATGTCTCATGTCTCAAGTCAAGTGAATTACGGGTCATTGGACAGGCGTCCAATCACAACTGACTTCCGGGAAAGGGGAAGTAACCAATGACATTCGAGGTTATTAAAACAGTAAGTCCCGCCCGTCGACTGCCAAAAATTAAACTGTTTGAGCGAGCAAAAAGCAGCAGGCGAGAGCAGATCAAGCGCGAGAGCGTGGGGAATGATCGTTCGGTTATTATTGGCATTGATTTTCCACCATATTGAAATGTGCTGTGTAACACTCAAGAATGAATCTCATTGGCTCTTGCTGAAGCTCAAAGGTGCTTCGTAACACACAAAATGAACCTCATTGGTTATTGCCGAAGTTCAAACGTTCTGCGTAACACGAGAATGAACCTCATTGGTTCTCGCACGTCAAGCGAACATGCATGAGCTTCCATTTACCACAACTGATGTGTGAGTTGATTAATTATATGTGAATAAAAGCCTAAATTCAATATGTTCATCATATAAAGTGATCGAGTCTCTTTGGACTAAACCACTCAATTAATTTGGAAATATAAATCATTAAAAATATATATTTATAAGCAAATAAAACAAATAATATTTATAAGCAAATAAAACAAAGATTATTAGAGTATGTTTTCCAAGAATATACTATTTCCATTTTGGTAACAATTTATAAAAAGTATACTGTAATAAAGTATTTACAAATAATTTGCAAACTATTAATTTATAGTTAATTAATTAGGGTGACCAGATTTCTCATGGTGGAATACGGGACGGAATGGACATTGGTTAGGATTAGGGGATAGAATACAGTTTGTACAATATAAAAATCAATACTTCTATGGAAAGTCCCTATAATACATGGAAACCATGTTTGTTTGTGTGTTTGTGTGTGTTTTGTTGTTGTTGTTTTTTGCAAGAAGGACAGTGCATATTAACATAACAGCTCAAAAATATGCCAGCCAAAAGGCTAGTTTTCATCTGTAGCCCTAGGCCCGATGTACAGTAGGCACCCTGGAAATGGGTAATAGGTAAAACAAGTTGATTATCACATGGCAAAATACAATAAACATTACATTTGCTGCCGCAGCAGGAACAAGACACCAAGACAAACATGCAACAAGGAGTTCATGTGCTACAGAGCTTCAATCAGATACAGTACAGTATCTGATTGAATACAGTACAATACAGAATCAATATTAAAGGACACAGTCAATAACATTAGTCAGTTATAATACAAAGCTTAAAAGGCAGATAAACATTAAAATGCAGCAGTATCGAAATTAGATTAGAAGAACATGCAAGATGACTCAAGAAAGTGGCGGTGGAAGTTCAGTGCTGGCATGTTTGATTGCTAAGGAGCCAACGTTTTAATGATGAGCGGAATACATTATAACTATTGATTTCTCTGATTGGTGTTGGGATGTTGTTCCATTCTTTTGAAGCTTTAATAGAGAAGGCTGACTGACTAAATGCAGTTTTCCTGAATGGAATAACACAGTCCCCTCTGGATGTTCCTCTAGTGAGGTGACTGGTGTTGGACCTTAAACTCAGAAACTCACTAAGAAGTGGAGGGGCCAGGCCATGAAGGATTTTATATGCTAAACAAATATTTGTGTACTTAATAAGATTTTCCCAACTTAATAAATTGTATTTTGACAGAATATCGCAGTGATGAAAATGACGTGGTTTCTTATCCAGAACTTTAAGTGTTTGTTTGTATAGGGAGTGTATTGGTTTCAAAGTGTTGTGGTTGGCCTGGGACCAGCTGGTAAGTCATATGCGAAAAGATCAGTGAATGCATAAACATTTTGGCTGCTCGGGTGGACATTGAGTTTCTGATAAATCTAAAATTAGATAGATTAAATTTTACTTTCTTGGCAGTTTTGGAGATATGATAATTAAAGTTAAGTTTGGAGTCTATGAGAATACCGAGATACTTAAATTCTGTAACTATTTGAAGTTTTTCACCAGATATTACAATGTCCGGATTTGTTGTGGAGTTGGTAGTTTTAGTAAAAAACATACCAACTGTCTTGGAGACATTTAACTGAAGGCTACACTGGTTTAGCCATTCACTGATCTTTACCATAGCGTTTGTAAGTTTAGTTGCCACTGCTGTTTTTGATGGCCCATGTATGTATAGAACTGTGTCGTCTGCATACATTTGAATATTTACTTCTAGGCACACACGTGGTAGGTCATTAATATATATGCAGAACAGAAGAGGGCCCAGGATTGACCCTTTGGGCACTCCAGTGGACAAGTGATGAGGTTCAGCCTGATAGCTGCCAATATGGACGGTTTGTGATCATTGGTAAAGATAAGATGCTACCCACTTGAGCATTATCCGAAAAGTTGAGATAAGAAAGTTTGGTGAGTAAAATTTTATGATTAACAGTGCCAAAAGCTTTCCTGAGATCTAAGAAGATGGCTCCAACAACGCTGTTCTTGTCAAGCAATGATTTAATGTTTTCAATGAAAAAGCAGTTAGCTGCCTTGGTAGAGTGGTTTGGCCTAAATCCAAATTGTAGTGGATGGAGGGAAAAGACAGTGTTGTTCATGTGATCTCTAATCTGTTAAGATACCCACTTTTCCAGAACCTTTGACATTACTGGCACAATACTAATGGGTCTGTAATTGGAAATGATTTGTCTGTCTCCAGATTTAAATATTGGGGAAACAATGGCTGACTTCGATGCATTTGGAAATTCCCTATCGGAGATAGACTGATTTATAATTTTTGTGATGGGGATAACTAATAATGAACCTAAATCTTTCAGCATTGTGGTATCCATTCCAAACACATCTTTAGCTTTTGATGTGTTAAGTGACCTGATTAAGGCTTCTATATTTCTTTCAGAGGCACTGGAAAACACAAGGCTGGGCTCTGACGACAAAACAGAACAAAGTGTGTGTGTGTGCGCTTAATGTATTTGTAAACATTTTAAAGAACACTGAATATGAATTAATTTCCAATAAAGGTTGGTTTAAAGGAGTAAGCACTTAATTGATGACATTTTCAGATTGTCAGTGACCTAATCTGATAACTATTTATGGTAACAAGTTGTTAACAAAGCATTATCTAATATGAGCTAATTAAACGATACCACTTTGTTAATTACAGTAACAATGAATGAAGAACTCACCATTTTGTACATTGTCTATTAATGTATTAACTACAGTTTATAAACTATTGATTAACTATAAACTTATAGTTTACAAATTATTTATTTATGCTTTGTTCCTGTATAATTATTATAGTGTTACCTCAGTTGGTACTTCAAAATTTCACATTTAATTCAATGTGTTTCTTGCTATTTCTTTGTAATTAATTGTGAAATTTACTAGCGATTTCTGAGTGAAAATTGTTTCTACACAATTTTCTTTAGTGTGGAGACTAAATTATTCATATGAATTCTTGTGAAAATTATAATTCTTATTATTCCGTCTTGTCATGACCTTTGGCTTTTGATGAAACTACAGGACATCAAAAACTGCAACAGTAAAGAAGCCTATCATGTTATTCATCCATGTGTTTGGATATCTCAGGGTCTTGTAACACATGCTTTGCCCGGGTGGTGTAATGGGAAGTAAACATGAAAGTGTGGCATGCCCTGATCTTCTCGTCAGAATAAAGTCACACATAATGCACCCCTTACACCAAAGATACTTGAATGTGCTTCCTCATTCTCATTTAGCTAGATATGGTTTTGAAGGCGATAATTGCTTGAAGAATTGAAATGTGTATTTAGGTTATAAGGTTTTAAATCTAAAATAGATTTTCCTCAGTTTGTTCAGTATGCTTGTGTGCTTAATGAAAAGTGATGGAGGAAGATGAATTGAGCTATAGAGATCCAGTGACCCCCAACAAACTAATTCAGTTCAGAACTCAAAGTTGATTATCAGTTATCTTGTGTAAGCCTATCAATCTAGCATCCTTATTCCCTTTCTCTCATGCACAGATACTTGGTGCGTCTTTTGCATGGACACATTTGTAACTGATACACAGTGGCTGTCATATACTGCTCCGAAACACCCGGGTTGAGGATCCAAGCGCAGCATTTATTAAAAGGGTAATCCACAATCATAATCTAAAAAACTGGCAAACGTCAAAACGCAGGCAAACAGTCCAAACAATATCAAAGTCCAGGGCAGAGTCAAAACAATAAATCCATAGGAACAGGCAGAGAATAGAAAACCAAGACACAGGAAACTAGGGGAATGCTCAGAAATGCAATTCAGACACATGCAAGACTTAGAAATTAATGACTGAATTGACCAGGCTCATAAAGGGTTATATCTGGTCCTAAAAACAAGATGTCCAGTAGGGAAGTGGAGCGGAGGCGGACCCGGGGGTGGGATGGCCCGTGTGGTGGAAGAAGACCCCCAGGGCAGATCTGGCGGAACTGGAGACTAACATGGCGAAAATTAAAACACACCAAAGAGAGGTTAGGATTGGCCTCAGGGGCCGTATCAAAACAAGTAGGGAGCTCAAGGGCATCTTCGATGTTCATAAAGGGACCAGAAGGGTGTTCCAATTTGGCCCCTGAGGTCATTTCTGGGCAGACAGGAAGTTCATAAAAGACCTTTGTGGTCGTGTCGGGGCAGACAGGCAGTTCAAGAACAACCTCTGCGGTCGTGTCGGGGTAAACAGGTAGTTCAGAAACGACCTCTGTGGTTGTGTCAGGGCAGACAGGAGATTTGGGGCCGACCTCCGTGGTCGCATCAGGGCAGACAGGAGACTCTGGACTCATGGGCTGGAGCGGGTTCTGAAGAGTACTCATAGGCTGGAGTGGGCTCATGGGCTGGAGCGGGCTCTGGAGCAGACTCATGGGCTAGAGCGGGCTCTGGAGAGTACTCATGGGCTGGAGCGGGCTCTGGAGAGTACTCATGGGCTGGAGTGGACTCATGGGCTAGAGCGGGTTCTGGAGAGTACTCATAGGCTGGAGTGGGTTCATGGGCTGGAGCAGGCTCTGGAGCAGACTCATGGGCTAGAGTGGGTTCTAGAGAGTACTCATAGGCTGGAGTGGGCTCATGGGCTGGAGCGGGCTCTGGAGCAGACTCATGGGCTAGAGTGGGTTCTGGAGAGTACTCATGGGCTGGAGCAGACTCATGGGCTAGAGCGGGCTCTGGAGCAGACTCATGGGCTAGAGTGGGTTCTGGAGAGTACTCATGGGCTGGAGCAGACTCATGGGCTAGAGCGGGTTCTGGAGAATACTCATGGGCTGGAGCGAGCTCTGGAGCAGACTCATGGGCTAGAGCGGGTTCTGGAGAATACTCATGGGCTAGAGCGGGCTCTGGAGCAGACTCATGGGCTAGAGTGGGTTCAAGAGAGTACTCATGGGCTGGAGCAGACTCATGGGCTAGAGTGGGTTCTGGAGAGTACTCATGGGCTGGAGCAGACTCATGGGCTAGAGTGGGTTCTGGAGAGTACTCATGGGCTGGAGCAGACTCATGGGCTAGAGCGGGTTCTGGAGAGTACTCATGGGCTGGAGCGGGCTCTGGAGTGGACTCATGGGCTGGAGAGCAGTGTGTGGCCCAAACACACAAAATGGCCATCACCGTAACTGGGAGTGTAACTGCCAGTGGGACCACCTCTGACACACCTAGACTTGGTACCACCGCAGAGATTCCAGCTGCTCGCACCGACGTAAGCTGTGTGTCCTCCAAACTGGAAACCAGTCTCAAATGCCTAGGTGTGGCGAGCAGGACGAGGCCAAGGGCTGTGGGAGAACGATGCCTTGATAGCTTCAGATGTGATGTTCATGACGACCGGAAACATTGATGTGGCGTCCATGATGGCTGGAGACTCTCGGTGGCATCAATGATGGCTGGAGACTCTCGGTGGCATCAATGATGGCTGGAGGCTCTGGTGTGACATCCATGTTGTAAACAGGCTCTGGTGTGGCGGCCTTGTTGTGGACAGGCAAAGAAGTCAATGAGAGCATAGTCTGGGGGGTCAGTGAAATTAGCAATACCTAGAAAGTCCTGGTTGTGGTTCTCGAGCAAGCAAGTTCCCTGACGAAGGCTGATGAGACGTACTGCTGGATCCATGATGTGTCTTAGTCTTCTGTCATATACTGCTCCGAAACATATGGGTTGAGGATCCAAACGCATTATTTATTAAAAAGGTAATCCACAATCGTAATCCAAAAAACAGGCAATTAGTCCAAGCAATAACAGAGTCCAGGGCAGAGACAAAACAGAGAAATCCAAGGGAACAGGCAGGAAATCACAAACCAAGACACGGGAAACTAGGAGAATGCTCAGAAATGCAGTACAGACACATACAAGACTTAGCAATGAATGACTGAATTGACCAGGCTTATGGTGCATTCGAAATTCGTATTTACGAGGTGGGAAGTCATGTTTACGACCGCAGGTGCGTTCAAGTCACTTTCGTCGGAGTAAGATGGCGGTGTATTTTCTCTTAATTAATTACACAAAAATACAGCAAGGTTCTTAATCTCTACTTCTAGAAAATGAAGAACAAAAAAATGTGCATCAGCTGTGTTTTTTTAATGTTATAATTAGCCACTGTAAACTTTAACATTACATATTATATTGTTATATTAAAATGCTATCATATTTTGTGCAATTAGCTTACTTCGCTGTAAATAGAAAAGCCTGACAATATCACTGCTAAATACCTTTAAGCATTGTAGTATTCCGCCCAACTCAAAAAGATCAGGGCTTAAAGAAAATACAGAGCTTCTCACTTGTACTTATGACATTGTGGTGGCGTTCATGTGCGTTCAACTCGTAAATATGATCTTTACGACATGCCTTGAATGCATGGGTGAGATAATGACGGTAATGAGACACAGCTGACAGCAATCAGGGATGATGAGTCCGAGCAGTGAGTTCTGGGAAATGTAGTCCATGTGTGAATGACAATGAACAAGAGGGGTGTGCACTCTGGTGGGCAAACAGGGCACTCCAGCTGGTGATCGTGACAGTGGCATGGTCAGGATGAAATAGAACCATGTTTGTGTATAGGATTTGGCAAACTTAACATGCAGCCAGGGGAATGCATATATTAGCCTCAAGGGTTAGAAAATCCCACGTGAGAGCCAGAGAGCTGGTAATAATGGATAATGGATGCACCTTATCTTTTAGCTGCTGCTCACTGTTACTGAACCCAAAGTCCTGAGCCCTTCACACCTCGAAAGATCGGCACTAGGTGAAAATGTTAGAGCTTTTGGAATAACAGTTTTACTGATTTTTGATTAAAATAAGGTTTGTATAATAGGCAAAGCAACTACCAAATAGATGTGAATTTACATGCTTGGTGAATAGTACAACATTTAAATAACATTTATTTATTGTTTTAATCAAGTTCCAAATTGCCATAGCCAGTCAGTTGCTCCTGAAAGATGTGTATTTTCTGAAGGCCGTAGGGGTTTCTGCTGGTGAAGCTTCAGAAGAGGGGCGGCAGTGGCTCAGTGGTTCATGTAGGTTGTCTACAAACCGGAAGGTTGGTGGTTCAATCCCCGGTTCCACCTGACCAAGTGTCGAGGTGTCCATGAGCAAGACACCTAACCCCAGCTGCTCCCGACGAGCTGGATGGCGCCTTGTATGGCAGACACCGCCGTCGGTGTATGAGTGAGTGAGTGAATGGGTGAATGTGAGGCAAATGTAAAAGCGCTTTGGTGGCCATTAGGTCTGTGAAAGCGCTATATAAAGTCCATTTACCAAGGACCTTCAAAATTTTGAAGTAAGATTTTAAAAGATTTTGTTTTAAAATCTTTGTATTCTGTAAGGTTGTATTCTGTAAGGCCACAATACATTGATCAAAAGTGACAGTAAAACCTTTATAAAGTTACAAAAGATTTATATATAAAATAAATGCAGCCTTAGTGAGTATTAGAGACTTCTTTCAAAAACAATATTTGCTAAAAACTGCTATTCTAAACAAAACAAAAAAACATAGAAACCTCCAGAGGGAACCTATGGCGAATTAGCCTTTTGCGTTGGCCTACAAATTGATGTCACGACAGAACTGCTCTATTGAACTTTGCATTAACTTTACATTAAAGTGATTAATATCCAGGTTGTTATTGGTTTAACAGTTGTAGACATTCTGGCTGAAAAAGGTCTTCCTTTGCTCTGTTTACCCTTATAAAATAGTTGATTTACCAGACCTTATATATCGAGATTTCTTTAGCACATGTTTGAATCATGATTAAATCCAATGAGTGAATCTCAAGTCGTTGGCCACACGTCGAGATGACCAGTGACACAGAGGTTGATTGAAGGAGGAATGCATGTCATCCATAGATAAAGACACAGGAATACCAATAGCAGAGAGAGATTTCACTTCACTTCAGATTTTCACATCTTTTAGTGTGTGATTCATATCAGCCCTCAAAATATTAAATTATGCTTTGAATAAACATTTAAATGGATCTTTTTTTTTTCAGGTCTGTTAATCGACAGACTAATATGGGTGCCACGCCGCTGTATCTGGCCTGCCAGGAGGGACATCTGCATGTTGTGGAGTATCTTGTGAGAGACTGTGGAGCTGACTTTCATCTAAGAGCCCAAGATGGCATGACGCCATTGCATGCTGCAGCTCACATGGGCCACCATGCACTGGTGGTATATCTGGTGGGTTATAAATTTACCTAAACACATATACGCTTTGGTAACATGTTGTAGTAGAGATCTACTACAGGTTTACAAGTGCATAAAACTTGTTTGGTCTATTGCAGGCGTCCTTCACAGACGTCAACCTGTCTACCCAAGATAATGAAGGGGCAACCGTTTTACACTTTGCTGCCAGTGGGGGGCATCATTGCATCTTGGAGACGTTGTTACAAATGGGATCAAAGGTCAAAAAGGATTACTGGGGCGGCACTCCTCTACATGATGCAGCAGAGAATGGGGAAATAGAGGTGGGTTTAAATTAGGATGCGAGTCTGTTGTGTGGTGTCTAAAATAGAATTATCCAAAAAATTCTAAATCTTAACTACAGTTATAACATCTGTATGAATTTTTAATAATTAAATGATTAATTATAATATTTTTCCAGTGCTGTCGAATCCTACTGGGTCACCAGATCAGCCCAAAGGAAAGAGACATAGATGGATTCACGGCCGCTAATCTGGCTGAATACAATGGCCACTTTGAGTGTGCCAGATACCTTCGCTCTGTGGAGAGAAATGTAAGGATTATTTCTTACTGCTTTTAATCAAAAAGGTTTAGGGATTGTTCTTACAAATGTCTTTCTAAATCAGCCTGATGCACGCATGAGACACTGGTATTATTTGAAATTTCATGCTGCTCATGTCTTGATTGTGGAAATACTGAAATAGGTGACTTAGCATAAATTAAATCATATATATATATATATATATATATATACCCTCACCTAAATGATTATTAGGAACACCATACTAATACTGGGTTTGACCCCCTTTCGCCTTCAGAACTGCCTTAATTCTACGTGGCATTGATTCAACAAGGTGCTGAAAGCATTCTTTAGAAATGTTGGCCCATATTGATAGGATAGCATCTTGCAGTTGATGGAGATTTGTGGGATGCACATCCAGGGCACGAAGCTCCCGTTCCACGACATCCAAAAGATGCTCTATTGGGTTGAGATCTGGTGACTGTGGGGGCCATTTTAGTACAATGAACTCATTGTCATGTTCAAGAAACCAATTTGAAATGATTCGAGCTTTGTGACATGGTGCATTATCCTGCTGGAAGTAGCCATCAGAGGATGGGTACATGGTGGCCATAAAGCGATGGACATGGTCAGAAACAATGCTCAGGTAGGCCGTGGCATGATGCCCAATTGGCACTAATGGGGCCTAAAGTGTGCCAAGAAAACATCCCCCACACCATTACACCACCACCACCAGCCTGCACAGTGGTAACAAGGCATGATGGATCCATGTTCTCATTCTGTAAATGCCAAATTCTGACTCTACCATCTGAATGTCTCAACAGAAATCGAGACTCATCAGACCAGGCAACATTTTTCCAGTCTTCAATTGTCCAATTTTGGTGAGCTCTTGCAAATTGTAGCCTCTTTTCCCTATTTGTAGTGGAGATGAGTGGTACCCGGTGGGGTCTTCTGCTGTAGTAGCCCATCCGCCTCAAGGTTGTGCGTGTTGTGGCTTCACAAATGCTTTGCTGCATACCTCGGTTGTAACGAGTGGTTATTTCAGTCAAAGTTGCTCTTCTATCAGCTTGAATCAGTCGGCCCATTCTCCTCTGACCTCTAGCATCAACAAGGCATTTTCGCCCACAGGACTGCCGCATACTGGATGTTTTTCCCTTTTCACACCATTCTTTGTAAACCCTAGAAATGGTTGTGTGTGAAAATCCCAGTAACTGAGCAGATTGTGAAATACTCAGACCGGCCCGTCTGGCACCAACAACCATGCCACGCTCAAAATTGCTTAAATCACCTTTCTTTCCCATTCTGACATTCAGTTTGGAGTTCAGTAGATTGTCTTGACCAGGACCACACCCCTAAATGCATTGAAGCAACTGCCATGTGATTGGTTGATTAGATAATTGCATTAATGAGAAATTGAACAGGTGTTCCTAATAATCCTTTAGGTGAGTGTATATATTAGTTTGTTTTGCCACTGTTGAACTTAATGTCATTTTCAACAGTGCTTTTTGAAGTTAAAGTCAGAATAATGTTGTAACGTTCGAGGTCCTACTAAGATGATCAATAAACAAAAAGGTTCAAACCAAAAGTATTTATTTAGTAAAACAAGCTCAGGTAATCCACATGACTAAAGGCAATGTAACAGCGTGTAACATAGGACTGCAACTAACTAAAGGAAATAAGAAACTTAAATACACAATGATTAACTCAAAGACTAAGGCCGTGTCCACACGGACACGGGTATTTTTATAACCGGAGTTTTTCCTACAGCGTTTTAAAAAAAAATCCCGTCCACACATGCTCGGTCTCCGTCTACATGAAAACGTAAAAACAGGCAATCAAGCGCGGTCAAGAGCATGCCACGCCAGCAGGCGGCGATATAAACCTTAACCCTAAAGCCACGTTGGCCAATCAGAAGCGCAAATCTGATGTCAAACACAGCTGATAACGGCGCACACTCTGACGTCGCAAGGCAAAAACCCCGGTTTCACTGTCTACACGACAACACTGTAACCGGCGTTTCTGAAAATCCTCACCCTGGTTTTCAAAAATGTTCGGTTTCAGTGCGTTTTCGTGTGGACGAACCGCCGAACCGCGTAAAAAAAGTCACGGTTATAAAAACACCCGTGTCCGTGTCGACAGGTCCTAACATGATCGTTCAATGAGTGTCCATGGCAACTAAAGTCTGGCGGGAACACAGGAAAGAGGTACGGTAACTAAAAGTCCAATATGAAAACGAAAACAAAGGCAAAATGTGAAAAATGTCTTCTACAACTATTAGAATTGACCTAAAAGATAATTTGTGGTCAAATGCACGAGAGTGTTAAAGGAATAGTTCACCCAAAAATTTTAATTATCCCATAATTTACTCACCCTCATGCCATCCTAAGCATATTTGACTTTCTTCTGTCAGTGGAACACAGAGTTATTAAATAATATTAAATAATATACTGGGTCTTCCCAGCTTTGTAATGGCATTGAATAGTGCCAGAGTTTTTGAAGCTCCAAAAAATGCATCCATCCATCATAACAGTGATCGATACGACTCCAGTGGGTTAATAAATTCCTTCTGAAGTAAAACGATGTTTTTTTGTAAGAAAATATTCATATTTAAAACTTTATAAACTATAATCACTGGCTTCCAGCAACGGCCGTACACGCATTCACGAGAGAGTGGAGTTCCAGAGGAAGGGTGACCTCTGACCCGACATATGACGTAGGCGTAACAAAAGCTTAGGTGAGAATAGACGCCTCTCACGAAAACCACGAAACTCTCTCGTGAACGAGCGTACGGCCTTTGGCGGAAGCCAGTGATTATAGTTTATAAAGTTTTAAATATGGATATTAAGCTTTGTTTCACCTTTCGCTTAAATGAACTATTTAACCCTCTGATTTATTAATTATCAATTATCCTTTAACCCTCTGATTTATTAATTATCAAATAAATATTTATTTTCAAATTACATTTTTAGTCTTTTACAGATCTGTCACCTTGCATTAAAGGTGTAATGTAAGTCAATGGCAATTTGTAGATAATATGAAAAAATAATATGACCATTTAAACCATTAACCTACATTATTATTAAAAAAATGGAAATCTAATATTCCAACGTCATTTACTGTGGATGTATTGTCAGTTATGTATATAAAAATCCATGAATAATTGCACAATGAAATTGTAACTTTGATCCTATTCTACAGAAATGTTTTTACCTCACTTCATTTGTTGGAACAAAAGGGTATATGTACTGTACATATTGCAGATGCATCGGATGGTTAAATATCTTTCATGAAGTGTCACTAGACAAACTCAGAAAGCACAAGCAAAATTTATTCAAATTAATTTCTTGCCTTGAAGGGTCTGAAATCAGATTTCATGATCGATTTGTTTTGACGGACATGTCCATTCACATCAGGAGCGTCTGTGAAAATCAGGCCAGTAACTTTTGAGGTGTCATGTAGCACCCACTTTCTAAGAAGAGGCTTTTGTGTGCGGTGTACCTTAATGGCCTTTCAGCCTTCTTGTTTCTTGAGGTAAATAAGATACTGCTCAATTTAAGTCATACATTTTTCAAGGGTGAACATGGTAGTGCTCATGAGGCGGGCACAACGACTGAACCGTATAGGAAAAGAAATTAATTCCACATTTAGAGCACAAAGTTGATGGATCAGTCTATGGGGTATTCTGCTGTTCTGGTGATTTACAGTACTGTATCTCACAACTATGCGTTCTTTCTTTTCTGGTTTGAAGATGTCCATCTGCGTTAATAAGCGGTAGAAATAGCAGCTGTTTTTGCTGTTCCCATTCAAGTTTTTGTCTTGGATTTTCTCCAACATACCTTGCTTAGCTGATAAAACTGTTTTAACGAGCTAATACTGAATGTTTGAGCTAAAATCCATATGAAAATTTTTAGAGGAACTGAATATTCATTTTCGTTAGGTAAACATGTTGTATAGAGTATAGGCCATACATTTTTTATTTTATTTAAACCTCTGTGGATTATGTTGGTTACTCAGCTGTTGAATTGTTAGAATATTACTGACAAATTTATGACAATACAAGCTGATTTTTTATGGAAGGTTTGCTAGTTGAACCTACAAATAAAACTTTTCTTTTTTTCAGTTTTCCAAGTTGAACTGGAACCATAAAGCAAGTTCTTGATATAAATGGGAATGTTTCATATGAATTGTACTCCAAGTTTGAAAAAACAAAGCCAGATCTAGGACTTGAAGCCGTGTAATGTAAACAGGTTAAAAACCAATTAAAGCCAATAAAGAATTCAATCAAGTTTCATTAATTTTAAGGTATCGTATCTGTGATTCCACAGAATTAATGACATGGTCTCCAATAGCCTTACTCACACTCTTCCATAGATCTAATGCAGAAATATAAGCTCCCTGTCAACATGGGCATGAATAAATCAGCAATTCATTGCTCCTATATCGATGTGAGGCTCAGGGTGCCACTAGACTTCAAAAATTAAGTCGACCTGTCCCAACAATAGAGATCTAATTAGTGAAGGGAGGCTGTTGAAGCATCAGATGCTGCCGTTCGCAGTCTCTCTATGTACTGGGGGTGTATCAGTTACCTTCTCACCAGCAGCCTAGCTCAGGTAGAGGGCCGGGGGCTGAGCTGGTTATGGGATCCACAGGGTTTGGTTTCAGGGTTTTTACCATTCTAATGCTTGGAAACAGATACTTGATCTATCAAATCAGTTGGAGAACAGGATGTTTGTTGGCTTCAAACGTGCATCTGATTGAAAACTACCATTACCACTACCATTGAAAAGCTAAGAAAAAAAATAATTTTTAAAGGGCACCTATTATGCTACTTTTTACTAGATGAAAAATAAGTTATGATGTCCCCAGAGTGTGTATGAAGTTTTAGCTCAAAATACCCCACAGATCATAAAATTGCCACTTTTTGGGGGTGAGCAAAACGTGCCGTTTTTGTGTGTGTCCCTTTAAATGAAAATGAGCTGCTGCTCCCGGCCCCCTTTCAAGAAAGGGGCGGAGCTCAGTGTTGCCAGACGCAA